TCCCTCCCCCTTCTCTCCCTCCCCCTTCTCTCCCTCCTCCCCTCTTTCTCTCTCTCTCCCTCACATCCATTATTTATGTTCCTTTATCCCTCCATCCTCCCCTCCCTTCCTCCCTCATCACTTCTCTCTCCCTCACTGCACCATTTAAACCATCCCAGGTAGAAGAAGCCTGCGAGCTCTATTCCGTATACTTTGACATCATTCCCTCTCACGTGATACGTCCTACACTTTACCACCAATGGTATTAGAGACAGGGCAACGTTTCCAAATATAGTTTAGCTTTGTGACGTATTTAGTATTTTTTGACATTTCAACCAAAAAGCATTTGTCCTTGGGGTCTTTCTTGGCTAAATATATACACCCGACACAAAGTTCTCGGATACACTAACTTAAATGAACATGTAGATGTGGTAGATTTTCATCCAAAACAGCTTTTGTTACCCCCACATTTTCTTTTTACTTGTGCCTTGAAGCAATTCACATTGTCATTATATGCCTTGGCTTTGACATGATTGAGAGAGCAGTGTGCATGTATGCTGTAGCGCTTTCTTATACTTTGCTTTAGACCAAATGTCAGGTACTGTTCATGTAAATGACCCCTCCCCCGCCGCCACCCCCCCCCCCCCCTCCCTCGTTCAGCAATATTCAAAATGAAATCTTATTTGGATATAGTAAAGCCTGTATTGAGGTACCTTGTAGTGGTGCATTTGAGCCATTTCTCCAGCTATCAGAGGCTAATGATGTGGGTTTTTTATGCCTCCGCCACCGAAGGTGGTGCCGGAGGCATCATGTTTTCGGGTTGTCCGTCCGTACGTCCGTACGTCCGTACGTCCGTCCGTACGTCCGTCCGTCCGTACGTCCGTCCGTCCGTCCCGTTTGACCGTTATCACAATATCTCAAGAACCATTTAAGATTTAAACTTAAGACTCGGGAATAGTATTTATCACCATAGGAAGACGATCTGATTAGATTTTGGAGTACGTAGGTCAAAGGTCACAGGTCACAGAGGTCAACTTATGAAATTCCTTGTATTGAGTTTGTTAGCGCGATATCTCAAGAACCATTTGAGATTTAAACTTCAAACTTAAGGATAGTATGTATCACCATAGGAAGACGATCTGATTAGATTTTGGAGCACGTATGTCAAAGGTCAAGGGTCACAGAGGTCAACTTATGAAATTCCATACATTGAGATTGTTATGATATCTCAAGAACCACAGGAGATTTAAACTTCAAACTTAGTGATAGTGTGTATCACTATAGGAAAACAATCTGATTAGATTTTGGAGCACGTATGTCAAAGGTCAAGGGTCACAGAGGTCAACTTATGAAATTCCATACATTGAGATTGTTATCATGATATCTCAAGAACCACTGGAGATTTAAACTTCAAACTTAGTGATAGTGTGTATCACTATAGGAAAACAATCTGATTAGATTTTGGAGCACGTAGGTCAAAGGTCAAGGGTCACAGAGGTCAACTTATGAAATTCCATACATTGAGATTGTTATCATGATATCTCAAGAACCATTTGAGATTTAAACTTCAAACTTAAGGATAGTATGTATCACCATAGGAAGACGATCTGATTAGATTTTGGAGCACGTAGGTCAAAGGTCAAGGGTCACAGAGGTCAACTTATGAAATTCTATACATTGAGATCGTTATTGCGATATCTCAAGAACCACTGGAGAATTTTCACTTCAAACTTAATGATAGTATGTATCACCATATCATAATATCTCAAGAACCACTGGAGATTTAAACTTCAAACTTAATGATAGTGTGTATCACCATAGGAAGACAATCTGATTAGATTTTGGAGCACATAGGTCAAAGGTCAAGGGTCACAGAGGTCAACTTATGAAATGCCATACATTGAGATTGTTATCATGATATCTCAAGAACCACTGGAGATTTAAACTCCAAACTTGTTTAAATTGCTCTATGGCGGAGGCATCATTTTCGACTGCGCGCAGTCAAAATTCCATCTAGTTTTTATATATGTTTCAGATATTAGTAAATTTTCTTGTGAATCTGTAAACATTCATAAAACAAAACAAATTGGATAGAAGTAGATACATTTAGTTGGTGTAACTTTTTACTGATTAGCACAACTTTTCAGACACTTTTTGAACAGGTATATTTGTTTAACATGAGTTTGAGGAATACACCCATTGGAATTGAAGCTACATGTATAGCATGGGTAATTTTCACATGTTGATGGTCTTCTGAAATGTGCCAATATTAAAAATGAAAATAAAAAGAAAGGAAGGATAGCATGAAAAGGGGAAGAGATTGATAGGGGGAATGTGAAAGAAAAGGAAAGAGAATGGGGGAAAGAGAGAGGGAAGGGGGAGAGAGAATATTGGTAAAATGATAACAATAAGGAAGAAGTTCAGGTTTCTTTAACCCTTTGAATAGATAGCATTAATTAGTATGCATCTTGATTGCTATAACCCATGCATTGCTATGGAAGGGGTGAGGCTAAGATTTTGAAAAGTATTATAAAACTTGATTAAAATCATTGGTGGAGTAGTGTTAAGCAGGATTTTGTTGAGTGTTAAGAAATACTGATCCACCAGAGACATTATGTGCATCTCATCACCATGTACCCTTCATTCATATTGACGATGCATGTTTCGTACTCATTGACAATATTATTAATATTAAGGCTTAGGGGCTGAAATGTCATCAAATGTCACGCTATGATAATGCAGTTGGCAAACAAAATGATCTGAAAGAAATGTAATTAGAAGAGGAGCTGGGGAAGAGAGTTTCATCAGGGGGAAGTTCCATCTTTGACATTCACGTTGAAATCAGTCTTTGAGAACAGGGATGATTTAGTGATTGACCCATGATCTTTGAAGTATATGGATGAACTACTTCCAGGTTACAGGCTGACATGGTTCTTATTGGGTTGATATTTTCTTCTGAGAGGAAATATGTTGTCTGCTAAGATCAAAATGGTTGTTGACTCCATGTTTAAGGATACGAGTCAACACACTTCTTTATCTCCATGTAGACAGTAATATAAGATGGATTTTAATTTGACTATGAAGGAAATATCAAGATTTAACCTTCATGTCGGTGAATGTTTTGTCTAGTTACCTTCATCGTCATTCAACTGAAAATATTTAGCATGCTTCATACATTGACATTAAACGGTGACAAAAGATTAACCTAAATGAGAGACCTGTAACAAACAAAGAGGATTGATTTTTTTCTCCCCGAAAATGCGGACGTATTTGTTCCATTACAAAGTAATGAATGTGGATTGTCTATCCTCACGATTAAATGGCATTTCATGTAAATGAATTACCCTTGTGACTCTGTAGTAAATGCAACATTACCATCACAGAAGACATAACGTGTCTATGTGCCATATTAAATTAGCTTTAGAAAGCCATGAATTTTGCACATTTAATAGAAGCACAAGATCACATGTCACACTATATTCCAACTGAGCACTATTTAAAATGACCTTTAACATTTTGATTTAGTATTCTTCTTATTCTGTCTGATTTGACAATGTAATTTCATCTGAGAGACGGGGAGAGAGAGGGAGAGAGAGAGGGGGAGAAGCGAAGGAAGAAAGGGAGAAAGAGAAAGAGGAGGACAAGTGAGAAATACACAATGTAACTAATAGGTGTAAAAATTGTCTTCTAGGAGAGTGTTCAAATGCATGTTATACAGTAAATGTACACATTTCAGCTTTCTGAATGTCAAAGCTTACACCAAGTTACAGGAAAGCTTGATGTGTGTGTGTGTACAAAGGGCATCCCTATCTTCCGATGAAATACTGCTCTCCCCCCCCCCCCCCTCTCTCTCTCTCTCTCTCTTCTCTGTTTCCTCCCCCATTGCCCCCATCTTCATGCACCTACATTCCCCCTCTCCAATTCTCTCTCTCTCTCTCTCTCCTTTTGCAAATTATAATTTCACCTCTTTCATTCTCTCTCTCTCTCTCTCTCTCTCTCTCTCTCTTTCTCTCTCTTTCTCTCTCTTTCTCTCTCTCTGGATATCTGTCCTTTTCCAAAGTACAATTATACCTCCTTCACTTTTCTCTACATCATGATGATAATACTGCTGATATATTCTGCATAATTTTCAGACAGAAGTAGGTTATCAGGATGAATATTTATGCAAACATAACATGATACGAATGGTACATGTAGGTAGGTTGAAGCACAGTATATAGATAAAGATTGCATTGATTCATTCTACAAGTTTATACAGCTGCTCATTAATTACACATCCAGTTGCATGTTAGTAGTGAAAACCTATGAAGACATAAGATGATGCCTATACTATCGGTATGATTTAGTTTTAGTGTTTGATAAATCTGTACATTCAATCATTCATATTTATAAAAAATATTTTAAAATGTCAATACAGTATTTCAAGAATCTGGGCCTATGATTTAGGCAAAATTGGAGGCATTTATTGACTATTACAAGTTCATAAGTTTATCTGTTGAATGCTATGTTCATATTAAAAGGGCTGTGGTTGTAGCTGTGTCTGGGCAACTGTTCCTGTAGTATGCGTATTTGCACTCTCCATATTCAATTTCCCATAAGACTGGTGTGATCACTAATTTACAATGTGAATAGAACTATAATTTATCATGTGTAGGCAACATTAATCAAAATAAAGATATGATACTTTAGTGAATTTGCTAAACTATTTCATGTAATTGATCTGTGTACATGTATATTTGTTGTACATATGCACAGTTTGATCATAGGCCTGTAAGGAGTGAGTCACATATCAACAATAACTATAAAAATAAAAGTTTGTGTATTTAGAAAATATACATAATCAAGAAAATTGGTGCTAATAGCTCATTAGCATAAATTGACATGCGCCATACATTTTCTATGTTAACCAATTCTATTGTGATGTGTAACTGTTCTGGGAATCTTGGGAGTCTGTGAGGAAAATATTTGATACCTTGTATATATATAGCTAAAAAATTGAATTTTGATCATTTTAATTGCAGGAGCCATTCATTGAAGAAGCAGCAAGTCAGCAGGAAGGAGGAGCAAGAGAAGAGCTTGCTGGGATTGATAACGTAGTTCATGAGGTGAGATACCGTATACAGCTATTTAGAGGAAGATGATGTCAGGGATATTGGCTATGGATTTTTTATGATGACGATCGCTATTGTGACACTGATAATCATTATAATAATAAAAAAATATGGCGATTTTAATGAAAAGGATGTCTGTGAAAGCTGTGGTGATGATGACCATAGGATTGGCAAAGGGTGTATTTATGGTAATCATTATGGACATGACAATGATGATGGTGGTGATGATGATGATGATGATAATAATGGTGGTGATGGTGATGGTGATGATGATGACGATGATAATAATAATGGAGGTGATGGTGATGATGATGATGATGATGATGATGATGATGATGATGATAATGGTGGTGATGGTGATGATGATGGTGATGATGATGATGATGATCCAAAGAAATCTCTGACAAACAGAAAGAACAAAAAATGTAACTTCTTGTCTGGTGATATAGCCCTCTGTAGAATATTTCCTTTGATTATTAGATACAAAAGAACAAAACTTAAAGCAATTTTATTTTATAGACCTCTGTCATTAATCTTAAAAGGTTGAGTCCAGTGCCTGTGATGAAATGCTGTCATTTTCCTTGACTCTCAAGGCTAACTTTGATCTTTAAGCCCATATGTCCTGTGTATTAAAGACATCCGACTTAAATCCAAATATTTTTCCATAGCATATCAGGAGCTTCAGTTTACAGAATGAAAGAAAATAGGATGTGGATTATGAGCGATTTAGCATGGATTTCATGAGTCCTTGCTCACATACCTTGACTAAATCCTAATATTTTATCTGTTGAGAACCAGAAGGGAATTTACTCTGTGTTAAATGACGCATGTCAAAGGTCATCTGGCTCTCACCTGACAATCTATGAAGTAGATTTTAAAGGAACATCAGGAAATGTGCGAGGAAAGGGTGATGACAAATCGTCCCATCCATTTTAATTTAGATTGTGATGAATAGTGAAGAGTAGATGAATACATATTATGATTATTTTTTGATGTCATCAAATTGTGATGATACTGATTATGTGCACCTAAATTGAGAATCCTACTTTGCGTAGTAATATTTGTTGAGGGAGGGGGGGGGGGGGTATACCTTGTCATTTTGCATGAAGTGATTGTTCAATTCAAATATGTTAAGTGCAATATTTAATGTTTACCTTTCTTGTTCAGAGATAATCATGTTCAAATTGTTTTTCGTTCCATATATCATGTAGGCTAGTGGAGAGACCGTCGACCTGAAGCCCGCAGTGCGTGTGTCCGACCTTCCTATTGACGAAGAAGAGGGGGAGGCAGAGGCAGTGCCCCTTCCCCCACCAATGGAGCTCCAAAATCATTCATCTCTGATTGGACCCCCTTCTGGTGCAGCCCATGACAAGAGAGAGGTAAGGAATGCCTATATTCTTCCACCACCACCCCCTACCCCCAATCTTACCCCCTCCCCTTCTACATGTACCTACTCCCATTGAAAACTGGGACCCTGAAAATGTTTGTTGTGATGCAAGTTGAAGTCGGTCAGAGCCGGGGTTTTGTAGCCAATCATGATGCAACACATTGGATTAGATTTGCTTACCCATGATGTATTGACGATTGATTCCAACTTTAAAGGTACCCTACATCCTATGGGGATGGGGGCCCTCAAGTCATATTCTGCATATTATGAATAGTTATGAGGATATCTTTAAATTTGGATAAACTTTTTTTTTTTTTTTTTAAATAATTTTTGGTCACCTAATGGCAATTTAAAGAGAAGGTTGAGTTCTGGGAAGAGGTGAAAAATAATTTGTGAGCATTACTCATTCTTATTATGCAAGTGTGGAAGAACATCAGTTAAGACATGTTCCCTCAAAAGCTTGGCTCTTCAAATGCCTTCATATTCTAAATATGCATGTAACATCGTAAAAATCGGGGGCCGGCTTTTTACGCCACGTGTTCGTGTAGTCCCATATACATCTTTCTGTGCAAGTGTTTGTAACTTTACCAAGACTTGGCCACATTTCTTATCATCTTGATGATTCCAGAACCTTGCAATACAAACACATTCTTATATGCTAGATGATCAACTTTTTCTGGTCGGTTCCACACCGTTTCTTTCACAATGCAATCGCATGACCAGAACTCAACTTCATCTTTAACCTCTGTGTTGAAACTATATTATATAACTCCTCTCAACATGATCCATTATAGTCATTCTATCCGCTCTAAACATAGGTGTAAGCAAATTATAGCGCCAAGTTTACTTTTTATCACTCGTTTAATTCATCCTGTTTGTGTCCTCTTTCCTCACGGTGTTACGCTTCCTCGTGGTAACAGTCCCTTCTTTCCACTCTGGAGCCAGTCGCTAATATCACTGGCTCGGGCAGAGAGTTGGCTTCTGAAGGAGATAACAAAACACCACATAAAATGGTACGTGTGGGACCACACTTTGCATCCATACATGTGCAAAATGAAAGAAAAAGAAACATCATATCGCTATGCCATTGTATGGTGTCAATATATAAAGTCTGGCATTGATTTTTGTATGATTAATGTGGCATGCTGCATGGTAAATGTTGACCAAAAAAATAGTATAAAAAAAAAGATCTAAGATAATTCAGAGTTGTAGAGTTCAGCAAAGCCATTTGTTATCCATTTATTTCTATTGTTTATAAGAAGTCAACCTTACAAACAGTGTTGTACTATTGTTAGCATGGCTTTATAATGTCATAGGTATTAATCTAAAGAATATTCTCTATCAATACATATGTATATTTATGCAAGTATATTCATGAAATATACATCTGACATCTGTATGCTCCCATGTCTCATTGGATGTTCTCAAAGGTCTTGGAATTTTTCTTCTTCTTGAGTCTGTGAATCGTTCTGTCTCCAAGTACTTGTTGCTCTATATTGCATGTGAAATGTATTGAAACGTCCATTTTATCGATATTTGTGACAATGATTAAAGGAGTAAAAGACAACATAATTTTGAACTAGTTGGTTATGTATAGTAACCAGTAATCATAATCTATTTATGTTGTACTGGTCAAATAGCAGGGTTCAATGTCCATGGATTTGTGTTTATGGTTTCATTTTATAAACTTATCTCTTGAGTACCAAGTGAAAAAGACGATTTTAAAAACTAAAAAGAAATGTACCCATTGTTTTTGTCTCGCCTGCGTAGCAAAAAGCGAGACATAGGCGCCGCTTTTCCGGTGACGGCGGCGGCGACGGCGGCGGCGACGGCGACGGCGACGGCGTCAACATCAAAAACTTAACCTAAGGTTAAGTTTTTGAATTTTTGGTATAATTTTTAAAGTATAAGTTCTTAGTCAATGAAACTTTGACTATAGGGTAATCAAGTATCCCCAATCATGTGAGTAGAATTTCAGATCACAAAGTCAAGGTCAAAGGTCATTTCAGGTCAACAGACTTGGACTATGTTGTAGCATCATCATCGAAAACTTAACCTAAGGTTAAGTTTTTGAATTTTTGATATAATTTTGAAAGTATAAGTTCTTAGTCAATGAAACTTGGACTATAGGGTTATCAAGTCTCCCCAATCATGTGAGTAGAATTTCAGGTCACTAAGTTAAGGTCAAAGGCCATTTAAGGTCAACAAACTTAGACTTTGTTGTGGCATCAACATTAAGATTTTCAAAATGCTTCTTCTTCGTTATTTTTCAACCGATTTTGATTCTGATTGTTTCATATGATAGGGCTAGGAGGGGATTTAAAATTTCTACACAGAATCGTGAAATTCATTATCTATGCTAATTTATGCAAATTTATTCGAAATCACAAAAAAGGCTTCTTCTCCTTCATTTCTCGACCGATTTTGATTTGGTTTGCTTTATATCGTAGAGCTAACTTTGGTACACTAAACTTTTACACAGAATTTTGAAATTGTTCTCCATTAATTAATTATGGTAATTTATGCAAATTTATTCCAAAAATAACAAAAATTGCTTCTTTTCCCTCATTTCTTGACCGATTTTGCCTTATCTGGTAGAGCTAAATTTGGAACAATAAACTTCTACACAGAATTGTGAGATTTTGCTCCATTGATTATTTATGGTACTTTATGCAAATGAAATGAAATTATGTCCCTTCCAAGGCATCAAATTTCTATTTTTTGACCAGTTCAAAAGTGTACCACATAAAATTTACGATATTTGTTGTTGTGAGATGCAGATGAGCGCTACGTCATTGACGTTCTGGTTTATCATAATGAATTGCGTTATGCAGGCGAGACCGCCGAGAGCGTTTCCCTTGTTAAGTGATTCAAATATATCATGTATATATTACATGCTCTTCTTTCTTTTCTCTGTAAATCTTCCCTTCTCTGGCATAATTTGATGACTTTGAGGAAAATTAATACAGGCCTAATGGAATTTTAAGAAACCTAGCTTAAATTTAAACTACAAATTGAGAGCTTTAAAATGGTCTAGTGTTCCTGTATATTGAATGAGAACCAAGTGAACATGCAGAGGAATTTTGGCCCCCTCTGGAGCATTCAGCCTTTACTAATACTTGCTTAGTTTTCAAGAGTTCAGAAAGGGTTGAAATATTCCTTTAATATTCCTTTAATTCTAAGAAGTGAACGTATCCATCCTCTAGCACTGCCTCTCGTTGCATTTGTCTTAAAGACCCCAGTTGGAATTCCAGCATTCCAGGCATACACGCATGTGTCATTATGCCATTCCAAGCAGTACAAAAAGGTCCTCTACCCTAGTTGAACCAGGATCATATTTATATCAAGGGGGTTAGGAGGGGTTAGGAGGGGGTCATACACCCCATCTCCTTCCAAAGTATCTCTAACATCAAAGGGTTATGAGTTAGCTCAGCAAAATGTGCAGGCATGAAAAAGAAGCATCGCCCGGAACGCAAACTGCATAATTGTTATCAAATCATAATTTTACCACACAAAGGTGGCCTAGTGCAATAATTAGTTAGAAGTGATAGGCAATATTAACATGACATCTACTATCATGGCCCATTTTGCTGACTTTCATAACTCATGAAACCATCATATCCTACTCTAGATTACTCTTAACATTTTAATCACTTCGGTTCAAGGAATAGACATTGTCTTCGAGGTTGATTTTTTCAAATGGCATGTTCATGTCAAGGATAAGGATTCACACTAGATAGGAATGTATAGGTTAAGGTTAGAAAAAGTGTCGGGTCAAGGGTCGATGCTCGGAGTTCCATCATGTGAGAGAATACTCCAAAGCGATTGTTGCTGGCGTAGGTGCTGCACAGTACTTTCTTTACAAGCATATATTGGATTTATCCAGCCAACTCTTAATTCTTCTATATTTTCTGGAAGGTAAAAAGAAGCATATTTGCTTGAAGGACAGTAGAGATTGCAATGAATTTGTTAGTGCAATCTCAAGTAATTCGAAGTTCCAATTTCACCATTAATAATTTTATGAGTTTGGTTTACCCACGCCCCTTCGATCTTCCCTGCCCCTGAAACTGCCAGTAGAGAAATCATGTACACCATACATGTGACATGTCTAGTTTGTTTCTATGTTTGTCATCATGTCTCTCCCTTTGTTGTTGCTCATGTGACAAATTATAGTCGATGTCATCACAATATGTCAAGCCTCTCTTTGAATGTTTGAGAGATAACAATGATGTGGGTTAGAGGGTAGTCGGTGCTCATATGTCTTCTTGATGAGATGGGGTCATGAGATTTCTTTGGGGTGTTTTTTTCTCCTCCTCCTTTTCCTCTTCCATCTTCTTCTCCTCCTCCTTTTCCTCTTCCATCTTCTTCTTCTCCTCATTTTCCTCTTCCATCATCGTCTTCCTCTTCCATCATCGTCTTCTTCTTCTTCTTCTTCTTCTTCTTCTTCTTTTCCTCCTCCTCCTCCTCCTCCTCCTCCTCCTCCTTCTTCTTCATCTCCGTCTCCTTCTTCTTCTTCTTCTTCTTCTTCTTTTCCTCCTCCTCCTCCTCCTCCTCCTCCTCCTCCTCCTTCTTCTTCGTCTCCGTATCCTTCTTCTTCTTCTTCTTCTTTTCCTCCTCCTCCTCCTCCTCCTCCTCCTCCTTCTTCTTCGTCTCCGTCTTCTTCTTCTTCTTCTTCTTCTTCTTCTTCTTCTTCTTCTTCTTCTTCTTCTTCTTCTTCTTCTTCTTCTTCTTCTTCTTCTTCTTCTTCTTCTTCTTTTTCTTCTTCTTTCCCTCACTTCTCCCCTTTCACCTCTGCTTCTTTCTCACCCTTGTACTCATCCAGTCTTCGATAGAATTTTTGCTTTGAAGATTCTCTATGCTGTTGCACATATAATGTGTATTCCCTTGTACATTGTATTGTTACATATAATTTAACTTCATTGTTTATCGCCTGACCATGAATTTGTCATATATACCGGTACTTGTATGATTAATTACAATTATAATTAATTTTTATTTTTGTTTGATGTTCTTCCGCAAACATTTAGATTAATTTGATGACTGCATTTACTAATAAAGCATAATTATTCATTTCTTCCTCACAGGAGGGTGAGAAGGAAACAGAAAAGGGTGGTGAAGAATGTGGTGATGGGAAGACAGATGAGGAAGGGGTTACCATGACAACAGGCCAACCTGCTACAATCAAAGAAGAAGATGAGAACGAGGTGGAGAATTCAGAGAATCCAGGTAAGATAGATAGAGAAATGAACGAACGATTGAAGAATGAATGAGTACAGGAGGGAGAGGTGTTGGGTTTAGTAGGACAGAGAGTCTAGCAAAGGGATGTGATAAATGAATGTGAAGAGAAACAAATCACTTTTATTATGGTATACAATGTATGGCACTTTACTGCCAGTACAAGCATCAATCACAATATTAAATGACCACTTAAAGCCCACAAATTGTAAGAAGAATAATAATTCACATTTGCCAATCTGAAACCACTGGCTCCATATCAATTAACCAAACCATGATACACCACCCCCCCCCCCCCCCAGTCATTCAGACATGGAGATAGTTGACAATGTGGGGTCCATAGACATACAAAATGACAGATGGGTGTGAATATTTGAATTATACTGGTATGCACATGTGTACTTTAAACTTGATATTATCTGAAGTAGAGTTTATCAAACAATAAATTACATGTAATTGATCTTTAATTAGTCAACTGCATATTACTCACATGTATATGTTTACACATGAATTTTCAATGTTATATCTACAGTTTTCACCAATAATATTATGAAAGTGTACTTTCCCCCACCCCACCCCATGTTTATGACCCTCCCCCCCCCCCTCTTTCTCGCTCTATCTATCTGTATCCCTGTATCTTTTTCTTTTTTCCCTCGCCTCGCTTCTCATCCTCATTTCTCTATTTCTTTCTCTTTCTCTGTATCTCTTGATTAGAAGGAGATGGTGCACAAGAAGAAGAGACGCCAGCAGAACCAGAACCGATACCAGAGCCTGAACCAGAACCTGAACCAGAACCAGAGCTTACAGATGAGGAGAGAGCACAAAAGAAGAAAGATGAAGCCCTGTACAAACTATCGTAAGTTGATCTTGAGGCAGGCAGGCGGGCAGGGAAGGAGGCAGGCAGGGAGGGAGGCAGGCAGGGATGGAGACAGGCAGGCAGGGAGGGAGGCAGGCAGGCAGGCAGGCAGGGAGGGAGGCAGGCAGGGAGGGAGGGAGGCAGGGAGGCAGGGAAGGAGGGAGGCAGGGATGGAGGCAGGCAGGGAGGGAGGGAGCAGGCAGGCAGGGAAGGAGGGAGGCAGGGAAGGAGGGAGACAGGCAGGGATGGAGGCAGGCAGGGAGGGAGGGAGGCAGGTAGGGATGGAGGCAGGCAGGGAGGCAGGCAGGCAGGCAGGGATGGAGGCAAGCAGGGAGGGAGGCAGGCAGGCAGGGAAGGAGGGAGGTAGGCAGGAAGGAAGGGTGAGACGAAAGTAAGAGACGGAGGCAAGGAAAAGGAAAACAATTCACATCAAATACTGATGATGATAGTAATATATGAGCTTTGTAATGCATCATCAAATAAGGAAGAGTCGGATTATGATGGGTAACTAGGTAATGAAAGAGAGAGAGAGAGAGAGAGCAAGCGTCATACCAAAAGATGTTAAAAGACTGGAGTTGCTGCTACCTTGTTTGGAGTCAACAATAAGGGGATAGAGCAAATTCGATCTAGCGCTGCTCAGTGGCTGCCAGGCTCACGATCAATTGGGGAAAAAAAAAATCTATTTTCTGTTTAATAAAATTTGGAGTGGGCTAAAAGATTATTATTATTATTATTATTATTATTATTATAAAATTGACAGAGTGAGAGAGAGAGGAGGCGGGTGGGGGCTGGTATAGAGTCAATAAAGTTTGAATGAACTGATGTATGTAGATTTACACATGACATTAAAATTAAAACTTTTTTTTTTCTTTTCAAACAGATTTGTGCTAGAAGAGATGGTGGTGACAGAATCAGACTATGTAGCAGATCTAGCTAAAGTAGTCATTGTAAGTATATTATCTCATCTGTTCAGAGCCAGAAGGATGTTAACTAGGTGTTAAACTATATGACTTCATAGCAAAGCTTTATGTCTTGACGACATTCTGAGGTGGGGGGGGGGGGGAGACGTGGTGACGAAGAAGCAAAAGGAATGTCACAGCCATCAATACTCCCTCTTGAACCTTTCTTTGAATTGTGCTCCAGAAGCGGTTGGTGCACAGGCAGTGTCTACCCTGGAACAAACACTGTACCTAACTCTGACCCTAACCCTAACCCCTAACCCTAACCCTGTTTCTAAACCTAAGCAACTGGAACCCTTACTTCTACCCTATATCTTCGACCAAATGAAACCTGGGGGTGTTTCACAAAGACTAAGACTAAGTCGGACTTAACTATGGTAGGCTGCTCATGCTACTGTTTGCTCTCACCATTTACTGGCATTTGCCTCTCAAGAGACATACAAATCATGGTCACAAATTACGGTTTTTTGATAATCCATTATTATTGAAGAAAAACGTATTATCTAAAGATCATAATTGAAAGACCAAAGGTGAGAGCAACTAGTGGCATGAATGGCCTTCCATAGTTAAGTCCAACTTAAAGTCAATCTTAGTCTTTGTGAAACATCCCGCAGGAGCTTTATTATCTTTAATCACCTTCTTGTGTTATAACGCTAGACAATAGTTCTTTGTTTTTGCGTATAATTCTGTTCTTTCTCTAAAATTTACATGTGCTGAATACACCATTAGTAAGAATTAAGGCCATCAATGTACAATCATTGTGTATCTATTAATTATTATTGCGAGAGGAGCTAACAGTAAAGCAGCTATTAAATCCTTTTTCTCTTCAAATCTCTCTTTCACATCAAAAATGTTCTCCTCTGTGTTTGATGATTGCAGGGTTACAGAGAAGACATGAAGAAAGAAGAAACAGAACTGCCATCAGAAATGGAGTCTGGGAAAGTGAAGATTGTCTTCGGCAACATCCATCAAATCTATGAATGGCATAGAGAGTGAGTATAATGTCTAGCTCAAGATGAGCTTTAAAGGGGGTGCAGCATGACAAAACTATGTGTCTTTCCCGTGGCATGACTCGGGGCAATCGGGTATAATACAACTACGGACGACGAGACCGCGGTATTCAAGTGCATGCATCATACGCGAAATCGAAGCGTGAGGAAAACTTCAGTCTGTTTCGCGAACACTAGCGCGCACTGACCGTTAATCAAGTCCATTCATTTAGGTGCAGTTGTCCAAAAGAAGTCGTAGATGGCGTTTACCGGTATTTGCCATGCTACACCCCTTTGATACAGAGATCATGACCTTAACATGTTTTGTGATAGCATCTACATGCAGGAAAAAGAAATGTTGGTAAAATTGTAAGATTTTTAATGCTGAAGAGGTCCAGACAATTTCAATAAATTTTGTTGTAAGGCTAAGTATTCTTGCAAAAGATATAAATTGAATGTTATTCAAGACTGTTAAGATTTGCTTTAAAGTAGAGGTAACCTGTGCAGAAAATGACCTGAGCACTGTAATAATCTTTTCATTTTTTTTATCATGAGATACTGTACATGCTATTCAGGGGTTAGTTCAATTGATCTTGAAGCAATTGATGTCTTTGTTTTAATCAATGTCTGTACTTTTTATTCCTTAGCACATTCTCCAAGGAGATTGCCAAAGTCAAAGAGGAACCTGAGAAGCTCGGTCCACTCTTCAAACGCTATGTAAGTATCCTCTTCCTGTGTTTCATATCTTCTTCTATTCTCACAGAGAAGAAACGAATAGAGGCGAACAACAGGCAGACATCACATTCATTTTACCCATCGCGTACTGGAACCAGGGGAGTATCAAGGGACTTACAAATCATGGTCACAAATCTACAGACTTTACATTTTTCGATAGTTCATTATCAAAGGGGAAATATTATCTAAAGATCATAATGGTGAGAGCAACCAGTGGCATCAATGGCTTGCCATAGTTAATTCTAACTTAAAGTTTATCTTAGTCTTTGTGAAACACTCCCTAGGTTGCTCCTGTATTATAAACGCATGGGTTTGAGAGAAGTCAGTAGTCCCACTGGTTCATTTTCAGGTAGGGAGAGATATGACCAGTAGGAATCAATGATTATTTTAAGCTATTTCTACCTGCATGTGTAAAAAAAAGAAAAAAAGAAGCAAATTGAGGAAGCCAAATCGACCATGACATATTATGTGAATATCTTTTTAAAAATTAGATTACAATGTGAATTATCAATTTTAAGTTTACCCTATCGTTAAAACCGATATGCAGTCAATAAATGTTACAAAACAGAAACAGATCTTAAGGACTACACACACACGCACACTCAAGAAAGAAATATTACCTAAAGTCCTTTTCAGGACTCCTTGATCCTCCCCCTCTCTCACATGGTGCAACCGTAAGCCTACTGTATAAACAGATTCAGGTATGTATGAGTTTATTAGTGAAAACAAAGAGCAAAAAATTCTTTCATTTTAAGAATATTGTATCTTCTAATAGATGTTTGTTCTTTACATGTAAGAAGAGACTTCAAACAGGAGATAATTGGCTTTCCCTTATTTTAACCATGACTGTGATTTCTTATTGGTTACAGGAGCGGAGATTACGTATGTACGTGGTGTACTGTCAGAACAAACCCAAATCCGAGTTCATCGTCAACGAGTTTGAGACATTCTTTGAGGTTAGTCTTTGGTTTGTTTTCCGTATTGTATTAATTTGTAGTTAAATTTACATTGTTGTATGGATACTTATATGGCCCTTTCATCCCTTTTCCTATCATGATTGTTTGTCTCATTATCCATATTTGTTCAGTTTTCTTTTTTTTAATCCATTTAAGTTTTCTTTTCTTCCTAACCGTCACAAAGCTAATTTTCACGATCGGGCTCCACCCTTCACATCTTTGATGTAAAATCATAACAGATTGCAGAAAGTTATGAAACAAATATGGTGTTTACAAGCTTATAAAAAGCTTTATGAAGCTTATTTGATGGTTAACCATTTCAATCAAAACTTCCCACATATACACATGTATTTCATGAACTTTCCTACAGCTGAGCTCTCTTTTAAAGTATTTTCTTCTCTTTTTCCCTTTTTTTCCTTCTTTTTTTGTTCCATTTGAACAGGAGATGAGAGTAAAGCTTGGTCACAAACTGTCGCTATCTGATCTACTTATCAAGCCAGTCCAAAGGATCATGAAATACCAGCTACTACTAAAGGTAGGAATCATGGACAAAGCATACCTTATTCCTTTTTCACCTTCTTATTCACAACTGGACGAACTTTGCATTGACAATACACTGCAGTTTACAATGGTATTGCACTATACTAATATCCTTTGGCAAGACGTTAATCTACCTTTGCCACTCTCCACCCAGGTGTTACATGGGTACCCGGTAGGATGCCAAAGTTAATGTAGTTTGCTCAGCATTGTGAGCGTCTGTAAAATGACACCTGGTTGGAATGCTCCCCAGGGAGTGGAGAATGTGCATACATTGTGTGGTGGCAAGGCTGAATACGATGACCGGGGTATTAATGATCTGTAAATCGCTTTGAGTCATCATTGATGTATTAAGCTCTATATAAATGCGGAATATTATTATTATTATTACATGTATTGTGTGATTCTACATGTACTGTCACATTTCTAGTCTGTTGAGTTGTTTAATGGGAGTGCCTTAAGCAATCTGCATGATGGAGATAAGTGCTATCCAAGAATATAATGTTGTTAGTATTGATAGGCCTATTGATTGATAGTTTAGCTTACCTGGTTCTGATTGTGATTATTCAATATTTTCTCCTTTGATAATTGCCCAAGACTTATTTCATCAAAAGTTCAAGGTTATAATTAGCGTTCAATTGGATTTTAGGGTAGGTTCAGGGATAGGGTTAGGTATTGTGGTGAGTCCGGAGATGATGTTTATGTAGAATATGAGGAAAATGTAGGAGCAACCATCACACAACCTCTAGTTGGTCTTCTCTGTTCTTTGAGCACTACATGCTTAATTTTAGTGGAATAAGCTTTAATCATCAAGTCGCAGATGGTGAGTAATGTAGTGATTATTTCACCATTATTTTGCTCTTTCTGCTTGTGTTTTGCCGTACAGGACATCTTAAAACAGTCGCAGCGAGCTGGTATGGATACGGTAGAACTCGAACAAGCCGTTAACATCATGAAGGTTGTCCCGAAGAAAGCCAACGACATGATGGCTATTAGCAGACTACAAGGATGGGATGTACGTAAAAGCAATCTGCTAAAAGATTTTATAAAAATTGCCAGTATAATTAATAAGAGTATTTCTGAGAAAAATGTTGTCGTCATCATCTTCAGACCAAAGATATCTACATTGTATTTTGCGTGATCATTGAGTTGAAATTCAAAAAAGAAAACTGCCTAACATGAAAAAGATAATTGATAGTCAAATAATAGATTCCTCTTTATTGCCTGAGAGATTTGTTTTGAGTGAGCCACATCAAGAAAAACTAACACTGCCAACAATTAACTCTTTCTGGCCTAGGTCAATGAAGGTCAATGGAGGGAGCCAACTAGTGACCTCTACAGTCTTTGTTTTTCCCTTCATGTATATGGACCATACCCTCTGAATGATATATACTGTATGTAAGAACTCCCTCCAGGAATTTAAAAAATACTCCCATTTACATTTTTGGTACTTAACCATGTACTTTTCTTGTGGTGTGTATGTTAAAGTGTTCAGATTATATAATTTTGTTGCCAATTTGATTACTCCGTTTAGGGTAAGATCAATGCACAGGGAGAGCTACTGATGCAAGACTTACTCATGGTGGCCGTGGCTGACGAAGGAACGCAGAAGTACAAGGAACGACGGGTCTTCATGTTTGAACAGATCGTGATCTTTGCAGACCAACTAGAGAAAAAAGGTTTTAGTAATCCAGGTTATATCTTCAAGTACAGTATCAAGGTGAGATAAGAACTAAACAGAACGGTTTCTTAATAATAATGTCATCATTTATCATGTCTGTGCTTGGAAAATAATTGGTTGTTACTCATAGAACCGATTTTCATTTTACATTTCACTAAAATGTTCGGTAGAAAAATCTTTGCAAGTACGATTAGAAATGAATGACTTTTCATGTCAATTTGTTATATGTTTACCTTCATTAACAACCCATTTCTCTCTCTGTCTCTCTCTCTCTGTCTCGCTCTCTGTCTCTCTCTCATCCTTCCCTTCTCTTTCTCTCTACTCCTCTCCCCAGGTGAACCAGCTAGTGTTGGATGATGGGGACGATCCTATCAAGTTCACCCTGAGAGCCAAGGCCAAGGATGGTCTGGTGCTCAACTGCCAGGCTAGTACCCCTGTCTGCAAGGTCAAATGGGTCACAGAGATCAGTCAGGTTTGCAATCAGCAGCAGAACCTCCTCAAAGGTGGGTTTCCTCCCCCTCACCCCCCCCCCCCCCTCTTAACTTTGTAAAGAGAAGATTGTCATGCAATTGCATTTTGAAGGGAAAAGTATCCAGAAGCCCTTGTTTGTATTGAGCTGAATGGCTAAACAAATTATTGGTTTATTATTGAGTTAAAACCAAGAGAAGTCTAGGATTGCAATGCCTAAGAATCAACCAAATCCTACGTTGTGCTCTATTTGCATCTGTTCTGTGCACCAATCTGCTTTATTCAACATGTTTATGAATGAAATAGATACGATAATAGACGTTGATAACCCAGTGCCCAATGAACTTGTTGGTTCCTCTATTATGCCTATGGGGAATGAGAGAAGTCGGTGGTCAACAAGTTGACGATCTTTTTAACAAGAGTTTTGTCAAAATGAATATATTGTCCACTAATATCCTGAAGATGTAAGATGTAATACTAGATGTCTTTTTTATATCCCATCAGCCCTGCAATCACCAATTGCTTACCAGAAAGGACTAGAGGGAGGAGCAAGTTTAGGATTGGATCCATTTGGAGCTCCGGAGGGCAAGTCTCCCGGTCCGTCTCCCGCACCGTCCCCTACCTCGCCTAGTGCGGACAAGTCCACCAAACTGCGCAAGGCTGTATCTCAGAGCAGTGAACCCCCAACACAGCTCCAGAAACAACATAACCTCTTCAGCAGTCTCAAGAGTCGCAAGAACCAGACAGCCCCAGCTGCGATCTCCCTTAACGAACTCAGAGAGACCAAGAACAATGCCAAGAAGAACGACGCAAAGTCTGGGACGCCCACCCACGATGAAAAAGCGGAGAAGGGAAAGGACGATAAGAAAGACAACACGGCAGGGTCGCCGTCTATCCGTAGGAAATTTTTTGATGGATTGTTTCATTCATTTCGTCCAAGCAAGTCAAGGGACACAAGCCCTATGGGAAGCAAGGAGAGTTTGCAGAAGGGTAAAGAACACAAAGAGATACCCAACACTCCTAAAGAGATTGTGGAGAAAGGAAACAAGTCAGTAGTACCAGTGTCGGGTCATTTAGATTTAGGGACGACTAACAATGCGACGACCGAGAACGCTTCAACGGAAAGTCCGAAGACTAACGCAGCTAATAAGAGCCCGCTAATGCGGACGCAAAGTGCAAATATTGGAACTGCTGTAATCAGCAATGAGAAGATGTCACCAGGGTCGGTGTCAACCGGCAATGGTGGTGGGGTCGCAATCGATAACAAAGCCGATAACAAAGCCAAAGGGAGCCCCCTACATGTGATAAGCTCCTCCTCCAGCCCATCTAAAGACAGTGGCGTTTCCGTACGCTCTAAGCGTGCATCCACAGGTTCGCTACAGAAAGATGGCGAAGTGAATGGAAAGGACAGTACAGAATCACCGTCCAGTCAGAAGAAAGGAGGTCAGTCCTCGTCTCCTGCGCGTTCGCAAATACCTCATGGGGTCACGAATCGAGATCAGTCAGGATCACCCTTCAATCGATCGAGCTATACATCGGTTTCCAGTTCCGAACCCGACGATGGAACATTTGTGAGTTAACCTACTTTGCGCTCTCTTGTTCTATTTGTGTTTGTTCATGCGCCTGTTGGGTTCTGAATCTATTCAATTCTATAAGGTGTAGATTTTTTTTCAATTAAAACTCATATAATGACACAGTTTATTATACATCATATGAATGACTCTCTTATCTCAAATGCAATGTACCACAAAGGAGACATTGATATAGAATAAATGGGTACCTGACAGGAATTAATTCCTTGAAATGCTTGAGCCCCATAATGGCAGCCGTGCTAAAGCCAGGGTAATAATCCAGAGTGTCAGGAGTGTCAAGTCTGACAGATATGAGCGCTATACAAGGGCCCAATATTATTTATTATTACCTGTACGCAGCCTGTTGACACTGCACCATGTGATCCTGGGTCGGTCAGATCCTACAGGGAGTGACTCAGATGGGTCAATGGCCATGCGTTCATCCTCTGGAAGTCTCCCCAGTTTTTCCTCCCAGAGATGTGCTGCCTTCTAGAGGAAAGATAGAAGAGAGGAAACCTACTAATATCTCCACATTATTTCTCTTTCCCCTTTGATTCATGTCTAAACAGACCGATCACTGCATGGCTCCGATCGTAGAGGACTATGCTGCAGAGAAGGAAGATGAGATCTGTGTTTCCAAGGGAGAGGTGGTCCAGATCCTAGCGGCCAACCAGCACAACATGTTCCTGGTGTATCGAGCAGCGGACAAGCAATCCCCAGCGATTGAAGGCTGGATACCAGGCGAGGTCCTCAACTTTACCGGCCCCACCCAACACCAGAGCAGAGGAGGGGATTCCCCTGCTCCTGGAGCCGTGGCTGCTCCAGTGGCGGCCAAGGACAGCCCCAGCAAGTAAGACCCCACAAACTACCACACCATAACCACAATATCACTGCTACTTCAGCTACTGCTCCTACTACTACCATTACTACTTGTACTTCTTACATATGCATTGACATCTGCATAATCATCAACATTATTCTTTCATTATATTCTTTTGTAATCATCCACTGGTTTGACATGGAAAATGGTCACTGATCTTGAGTCCTTTATTGGAACTAACACCATGATATCACGACCATGGCCCCCATTTCTCAGGATGTATGTGGGTTTTCATCCCCCAGGAATCCTGTTCCTCAGACAAACTGCTTGATGAGAGTCACCATCATCATCATGCAGGAACAATGACATATAAGTGGGATGGTTTGGATGCAATCATACCTAGTGTGAAGACTTCAACTTTGAAACGTTTTACAGGATTGTTTCATCATCTTTTGTTTCTTGTTGCATCTTTACCATTGGTTGCAGTACAATGAAACACCATGGTAATTGGACATCACTTTAACTTCACACTTTTGCTGACCTTGACGATAAGTTGTCTTATTTGTGTAGAGGTAGATCATTGGAATTCATTCATCGTGGTATATGTTTTGGACCAAATGTAAATGCCCATTCATTTAAATCCTTTCGAAATGTGGAGTGGAGGAGTCTATTTGTTGTAAAGTATGCATTAGGTGAGCCAGAATTCTTCACAATGTAGTGCAGGGGTTTATTCTTCTTCAATTCTAACTTTGTTCTATTTTCTACTATTATATTATCTGTGTAGAGTCAAAAGGGCATTAACTCATATACTGTAACACAGAGTTAATGCCATTTCTGCCCTTAACAGATAATATAACCAAGCCAACAGCATTACAATATGATTGATAAGGTCTCATGGGTTTCGTTCATCACATGCCATATATATATATATATAATTCCATTTGGAGTTTCCATTGGACAGCCTGTTACATCTTGGTTGCTTCATGAACATTCAACAAAGTTGATCATATGATCAGTATCCATCCAATTTACTTTGCAGTTCATTCTTCAGGTGGTGTATAGATAACATGGGAACTTGAGGTGATGTGTTCAACATTAACAAAAAAGATTAATTAATAAAGCATGTTGTATTTCTTAAAGTGCAAAGGAAATGTTGTCACCAAATGTACATGGATGTGTTGGTAGCAATGATGCTACATGTACATGTAAGTAGATGTTGTATCATTGAGGTGAGTAGGGTTCTTGTTAAGATACATTCACTGTGACTTGCAATCATGTACTTGGTGAGAAGGACAGTAGACTTTCCGTACTTACAGCCTGAAGCGAGGCGTTGGTTGACGATCGTGCTACAGAGACCGGGAAACTAAACCAGAAATTGGTACAACTCCTGAGAAGGACAGTAGACTACCCGTACTTACAGCCTTAAGCCAGGCGTTGGTTGACGATCGTGCTACAGATACCAGAAACCTAAACCAGACATTGGTACAACTCTGTATTAAAGCAGGAAAACTCTGTGCCTCTAGGACCTCCTGTAGCTCACATCACGACTCCTACTGTAGTTATGACCATCTGCTAGGAACTCTTACATGTACAACACATTACTGCTCGCAAGCATTGGACCACAAAAACTGTCATACTGTACCTAAGACCTTTTCGCAGGACAGAATTGTGCTTCATGAACAGAACTTGTGACTTTCTCTGCAAGGCAATAATATACTCCAAAACATGACTACTTGAAAGGAAAGGAAAAGTTATATGAAATCCTCACAATGTTCTCCAGTGCAGGAAGATGTCTGCGCATCAGTCTCTATGTTTATTCCTCTTTTCATAATGTTCTCTTTTGCAGAACATTTCTTCAACAGAATATTACAGTAGATAATAGTATTTTCTGATGCCCTTGAAATCCAAAGACAGAACCTGAATTAATAGAATTTGAATTGGAGAATTAATGCAAAATAATATGTAATTTCTTGTCAAAATGGTCTGCTAATCATATTGATAAAAGGAGGTTGCTTCTGTACACAATTGATGAAACTTTACTAATAATGTTTTGTCATTTTTCTTCCCTCTGTTTCTCTACTCTTTGCATACTTGGGATTATCATGGTATTGTAGTTTGGGTTTAGAAAGTAGTTCTCCTGAGGAAACTGAGTCGCTGAGTTCTTGCTCAAATCCCCCAGAAATCACTGACCTCTTAGATCAGTTCATAGCAGAGAACATGGTATCAGAGCCGACAGGGTCGCCTGTTCAGCTCAGCAGGGCCAAGAGGGGATCTTTGTTAGGTTACTCTGAGACTACATCACTAGATCATCACATCTTGAATGATACCTATGCTCCAATATCACCCTATACCTACAATCTCAATTTTGAAGCTTTGTTGAGCCCAAATTTCCAACAAAAATGGAATTCTGTTATCCTGGGATTGCCTGCATTTGACTTTCCTAGCCCAGAAGCTCAAGTGCTTCCCGACTCTAAAGAAGATGAAAATACAAAAGAAAGAAACTTGGATAAACTTGAGAGGGATATGCAAGACAACTCTTTAAATGAATCTAAGACCCCATTAGAAACTTTTGTTGAAAGAGAGATATGCAATGAAGAAGTTGGTAGGCATCCCAGTGAAAATTTGTATCAGAATTACTTGAAGGATTATTTGTATTCATCTTTCGAAAAAGTAAAATCTTTTTGTGAAGACAATGGGAAAGCCGACGGAAGTTGCATTGAGGAGACAGTAATGGAAAGTTCCTTTCAAATGCCTCAAACCAGTCTGAACCAGAATGAACCAGTTTTGCCTATACAAGAACCAATTCAAGCCAGTTTTGAGCAAGAACAAATTCAAGCTAGTTTTGAGCAAGAACCAATTCAAGCCAGTTTTGAGCAGGAACCAATTCAGGCCAGTTTTGAGCAAGAACCAATTCAAGCTGGTTTTGAGCAAGAACCAATTCAAGCCGGTTTTGAGCAAGATCCAATTCAAGCTGGTTTTGAGCAAGAACCAATTCAATCTAGTTTTGAGCAAGAACCAATTCAAGACGGTTTTGAACAAGAACCAATTCAAGCCAGTTTTGAGCAAGAACCAATTCATGGCAGTTTTGAGCAAGAACCAATTCAAGCTAGTTTTGAGCAAGAACCAATTCAAGCAAGTTTTGAGCAAGAACCAATTCAAGCCGGTTTTGAGCAAGAACCAATTCAAGCTAGTTTTGAGCAAGAACCAATTCAAGCAAGTTTTGAGCAAGAACCAATTCAAGCTGGTTTTGAGCAAGAACCAATTCAAGCTAGTTTTGAGCAAGAACCAATTCAAGACAGTTTTGAACAAGAACCAATTCAAGCCGGTTTTGAGCAAGAACCAATTCAAGCTAGTTTAGAGCAAGAACCGATTCAAGGCAGTTTTGAGCAAGAACCAATTCAAGCTAGTTTAGAGCAAGAACCGATTCAAGGCAGTTTTGAGCAAGAACCAATTCAATCCAGTTTTGAGCAAGAACCAGAGGACTCGGTATCCAACAACACAGAATCAAAGATTGGTCCTTGTTTTATCCAGTAGATTAACAATAACATAATCATTTCTGACCATTTTAAAATGCAAGGTGGTAGAATTCTATTTAAACATAATAAGAGACATTCCAAAGTGAACCATTTCATTTTATTTCTATTTGGTAGTTATGTTCATTTACAGGAAGATTGGCATACGGTACAATGTACATCTTATGATTTGTTTTCTGTATGATTTGTTTTAATATATTTTTTACATTAATCACACAGTCACAGACTCGCTGAAGAGGAATCTTTTTTTCAAATTCTATCATCTAGTTATCTGTATGACATTTAAAGGGAAAAGAAAAGGGATTGGGCTATTAAAAGCAAAACGTGTGCTTGCAAAATATTTAAGGCAATCAAAACATTTTGCTCCTTTGGATTTCCTTGTTTTATAATCACTTACCTGTTTTCAGATCAGTTAATATGGGATTTAGGTCTACAGATTGGTATTCATCATGGGAAAAAAAATTCATCTGATCTGTCGGACATCTTGGTTCACTTTGAACGAAATGAAACTTCATGACTGGACAGATACATGTTGTTTCTTTCTGTTTTGTTTCATTTTGTTTTTTCACTAAAATGTATTTGCAGATACTCCATACCGGGTCTACATTTTACACCTACTTGTATTCATTTACGATGGTTAAGTTATGCTTATGATTTTGCGAGGTTTATCATGGAATATAAGTTTTATTTGGGGCATCACAGATTACATGTATGTCAGATTTCAAGATTGGAAATGAGATATTCATTGGTCACAACTTTATCTTCTCTTCAATTTTGTTTGTTTATATAATTCAAATCTGGTAGGGACTCTGAGAGTCACCTAAGATATAGAAATTGTATCGGGATGATAGCTTCATAACTAAAAGTGAAAATTTTCCCCCAAGATTTATTTTACATCAACACTTTTTAAAAAGTGTTCTCATTCTCATAAAAACAGAGAATTGCAAAGAAATGATCATGCCGCCCACCCCCTCAGAATAAGACCCCCCCCCCCCCCCCCAGTGATTTCAGCACCCAACTTGTGAGGAAGCCTCTGTGATGAATATTATAACCATGTATCTTTCTTGATATGTGGTGACATTGTCTTGAAGTTTGCACAAAATGATGATGGAGGACCACGATGCTTTCTTGTTCAAAACCTCTGTTATCTCAATTTACATAAAAACATGCAATGGCTTCTTCTGGCCACGATGTTACGTGAGAGAGTTAGAGAAACAAAGTACAAACCAGATTTATAGATACACCATTTCTTGCTGATAGGTTTGAACATTTCTTCTTCTTTCATTCATTAAAAAGAAAATCATTACATGATGATTGAAATGGGCAAAAGATAAAGTGAGCTTATCATATGTTAAATGGAACACACACGATAGCACTGTGAGGTATACCCTGTGTGTCATATCGGGCTATATTCGAAAAGAGTTTCTTGAGTACAATGTGAGTTGCTTCAAAGACAAGGAATGTTTTGATAGCCAGGTATCGTCATGCCAACTATCAATACCCTGTCTGGTATCATTATTATCCAAGAGGTCGGAGAGATATTGGAGAATGCACGTATGAAATTGATATCTGCACATTTATATGGATTGACAATCACTTGATTATGATTATGCATTAACATTCACCTTTCATAGTAGGTTAATATTTCTATTTTATCACAGATTTATGGACAAAGAGGTGTTTTAATGATCTTTCAGTTATCTATTGCATATATTCACCTTTTTTTAACTCATATCCACTCACAAGATGAAGGAGAAGAAAACTTTTATTTCATATCGTGATTGATTTGTGCTTGTGTGATTTTTCACAATGAAAGTCAGAATTTAATCTCACTATAAAGCTAGCAATCAAAATACTTGCTTCTTTCAGTAGTGAAGTTCTCTTTACCTCTTTGTACTGCTATGAGAAGAAATGCTGATTCTTTGAAAATGCACTAAAGGGCAACCCGTCCTTCACAGTATTTATGAGCTCAATTAATATTTGCTTTCTAGGGAGAGGGTCCATGAGAAGTTTCTATTTATTACATGTATATCAGTGGAATTGAACCCTCACTTTTCATTTGAAGAATTCTATCTATGACGTTATGAAGTTAATGAATATTGTTCTTGCTCAAAAAACAGTAAAGAAAACTTTTTACAATCATTTCCACTAATTGTATGTTGATTGAAATGTAACTGTAAACTTTTTTTGTGGAATGGTCTCACCAAAAAGCTGAAAAGGGGTACATGTCGAAGATGGCAAAAAACGTAAACAAATGATGTATGTTGCACTCAAAAAGTAAGAACAAGTTTTTGTGTGAATCAACGTGAATATAACAGCACTGTAGATTATCTGATTGTACATACTTTGATGTATTGAATTAGTCTAGATATAAAATATGTATTATAGAATGTACAGACCCTCTTCATTTGACTGGAACATTCTATACCCCAAGATGGGTGCTTCTTGAATTCTATCATAGCTGTTTGTCGGGTGTTTTTTGAAGTTTAGAGAAGAAATTTGGTAAGCCAGCATTGATTTGTTTCTATCTCTGGGCCATCTTTCACATGTGTTTTAATCTGTACAGAATTGGATGAGCACTGTAATGTTGTTTAGTTGCTACACATACATGACGATGACAAACTATTCAGTAGATATTGACGAATGAGTCGTTATTCTCATGCACTTGTTGGATAATCCCCTTGAGTCTTTGTTGAAACTCATTTGTATACCACATCAACTTTGCAGTTACACTTATTTTGGAATCTTCTTATTTCTGGATTGAGATATGTCTCCCCTTCACCAAAATGTACTAACCTTAGTTAGTGTGCCTGAACATGCGTAATGCTATGCCGGAAAAACAACGCTAGATTACCAAGAGACTTAATCCTTGATTAATCCTGTATTCAAAGCTCAGTTTACTTGTAGATGTCTAAGTAGACATTGTAGCAAGGTCTCGTTGCTATCATATAGGTACCAAAGATGCATTGAAAAAGCTCTAAACTTTGGTGCTTGGTTGCAAGGAAAACTGCAGATACATAGCGTGGACCAGAACAAATAGAATCTAATATATTCTTTCACTTTTGTATATTTCACCTATGGCAAAGGTGATGGATATATAAAATTATAGACTGAATATATTATTATACTCTAGGTTAGAATTCTTGCGCCATACTTTTGTTTTTTGGTATCTGTAAAAAGTTGAAATTTGCCCAGCATGAATTGCTCGCTGTAGAGTGAATGATCTTGATTATGATATATTATATTGTAGTGCAAGAATGAGAATACTGAAAGACGGGATTTATTTTTACACTTTATTTATATCTAGCATATACATATGATCATACTATTAGCTAAATATTTGTAAGCATGTTACAGAGTGTGTGGCCATTGCTAATATCTCAATCCCTTTATGCTAGTGCTACATATCGAGAACTAGATAATGGAACTTTCATTGCAAACAGAAATAAAATCTTCTTTAAAGGTTGCAGAGTTTGTTAATCAAATTTGAAGTAATGTCATTTTTATTTTTTCCTCTCTATCAATCTATATACATATCTCTCTTGTTGACTTTCTTGTACAAAATGTTAATAAGGTACAAAGCTAGATTAAAAAAATACTGTGATAAAGTGTGTACAATAATGAAAAATACTATGTAACAGAACATAAGTACAAAAAAATCAATGTGAATTTTAATTGATACATCTATGGCTATCTCTCTTGTTATATTCAACAGATTGTAACTTTTTTTCTTGTGTGTTCAAGATTGATTAATTATTCTGTGAAATGACAGAACTGTTGTTGTTTTTTCTTCTCTTTATGACAAGACGAAGATGATGGAGACGAGAAGACTTGTAGAAGAATTTTAAGTAGAGATGATGGTGATGAAGAGAAGGTTAAAGACTTATTATGATGATTATTGTTATTATTAGTTTGACACCAATCGTAAGATTGTGTATTCAATGTCTGGATGCAAAAAAATATAATATTATTGGAAAAATAAAGATGGAAAAAAAAAATGATGCACCGAGTATTAATGATTATTATGAAATTTGATGTGCTTTTTTTTTGTATGTAAGTGAAGCTCTCTCATTGAAAGAAATTCCTATAAAGCTTATCAGATTTAATATGTAAAAATACTAATATACATATATTAATTGTTTGGAAGGGTATGCTTAAAACTATTGCCCAAGGTGATCTAGAAACTGTACTGTGGCCTGACACAAAGTCGAGGAGCATAGTGCAGTCTCAAGATCATGAAGAAGCTATAGTTTAACCGACCCCGAAAATCAGTAGTTAATATTTGTTTTATATACTTCATATACATCACTTCATATACTGGATGTATCTTAAAATTGTGTAGTGTGCTTTATATTGAATGAGTGCTTATTGAATAATTAATTGAGTAGCCTTGCTTCAAGGTAAAGTCATTGAAATGTTATGTCATCTATTTGGAGGGCATTAGCAATAGAAAGTTGACTCTCTTTTGGCTCCAAACAAAGAGTTTGAAAAGAAGAGAAATGTCATTGATCTTGTTATAAAGTTCTGCATTGTGTTACAAATTACAAAGCATGTCAAAAATGAATTGAAATGAGTTTACCTGGGAGGGAGGCTAGATGTTCATGTAGGTGGTTTCGTTTGTTGTTGTGTGTGTGTGTGTGTGGTGGGTCTGTTGTATGCAACATCACAACCATGTTGGAACAGCATGTGGCTGATCATGACTGCCTCAGGAGACAACATAGAACCCGCACATCCTCCTGTTGTCCTCAGCAAGTTGGCAACACAACAGATTGTCACCCTTGGAACATCAATGAATAGAATGGAAAATACCTTGGATGCAACATTGCATGCAACATCAAGCCTGATTCAAGCAACCCCTGCAATATTGATGTTTGGTGAGTTGCATGCACAGCAACTTGATGTGAAGTCTGTTAAAGCTAGCCACCAAAGATCACTTGATGTTGCATTCATTCTGTGGAGTCGTCAATATTTAGAATTCATATTTTGTGTAGAATTAGCTGGTAGTATATTTGCAGTATTGTAAGTATATTACTTACAAATAAAATTAATATTGTAATGTTTTGTTAAGCGCAAAGGATAACACTCACAGGATGACACTCACATTCTTGTGAAAATGCTTTTTGTGTAGTATTGATTTGGTCTTTTTTAATGTTGCATTCAAACTAAATGTTGGTGTCTAAAATTGCAAATTTTAGAGGTGTTGTGAAAATTGCTTTAATTCTGTTAATTTGTGTGACAGTTTTTGTCTTCCTGTGTTACATTTGTGCATGAAATGTTTTTGGTTATCAGTTTAGTCCAGACTATAGGTTTGCATGTAGGGTGTATTTCTCAAAGATAAGTAAATGTCTTTTGATTTTGTTGTTTTTGATGTTGTTCATTGTGTACAAAAAAAAGTTGTAAAATCACCTTTCTTTCTCTTTGAACAGCATGAAAATGTGGTTTGGGAGCTTGGGCTGCATGATATAGTATTTATACTGAGTATATGTCAATATATTTCTTTTAAATGGTAAAAGTTTAATTGTCTGTGGTATTATCTTTACTTTTATTTGTTAAATTTTCTTTGTTGATAGACTGATCTTTTGTAGACTCTGTGTTTTCAAAGCAATGGCTCATACATGTATTTTTGCTTCAAAGTTGTGTTGTTTTGTGTAATGAACAATTAATGTTATGCAATAATATTTGTTTACAAACTTTGTAAGTGTATATTTATACCTAGGGTTAGATTTAATTTTTCTTCTTTGTCTCTGCTGGTTGGGTCTATCAATATGTGTTGGCCCTGTCTTTGGTGCATGTAAACTATAAGCTTTGTTTCTTCCTTAATAATCTTTGCTCATTGCAAATTATCCATTGAGGAATAAACCCATTCATTTCAGACTATTGATTTTTGGTATGTCTCAGTTCAGACTATTTTTGTCCTTATCTGTACTTTAAATCGTCAAATGCTCCCTTTCCCATTTGGTTTTACCCCCCCCCCCCCTCTCTCACTCTCTCTCTCTCTCTCTCTCTCCCTCTCTCTCTCTCACACTCTTCCTCCCTCCCTCTCTTCCTTCCCTCTGTTTGTCTATGTTTAACTCTCTTATTCCCCCTCCCCCTACATAGTTCTGCCTTGTCATCTTTCTTAGTCACTCTCTTAGTGCCTCTCCTTTCCTCTTTTTCTGTCAACTTTTTTTTTGCTTGTTGGCTGGTGTTTTCTTTCACCTGTTGCATCAAAAAGAAAGACATTTTGTTTGGAAAAGTTTTATGTCGTATTCTTCTTGCATGTCGACCAGTCTGGTCCCTCTTTGTATGTGGTTTCAGTTCAGTATCTGTTTCTCTGCTCTGCATGAACTCTGAAGTCACTTGTACCTCTCCCCAAAATGGCACAGCTTTTATCTGATGCTCTCTCAATTCAATTGATTATTTATGAAGAAAGGGTATAATTGTTGTGACCCTGTCTTCACTTCTATGAAAGAAACTGATAACTCGTTGTCTTCCAAAGGTGGTTGTTATTGCTTTGTTATCAGTTTTTCAAGCTTACTATTGCCTGCGGTTTAAATATCATGCATGGATGGTTTTACTATTTCTCTTTCCTCATTTATTATGACCAACCTGGATGGGAGGAAGGTATAGTAGTTGCTATTTTTTAATCTGCTCTCCAGACAATTTTCTTGTCCTAATTATCACTTGGGTAAAGATGAAACTGTTCATATATCATCTGCTGAGAGCCAGAAGGGTGTTAACTCTGTGTAATGGATATGAGTTAATGCCCTTGTGACTCTGAGAGAATGAGATTTACATGTTTTACACACATATTTAGACTTCATAGATCAGTGATGATAATGTCCCCCACATGCATTTACACATGCGAGAAGAAACAAAGAAACAGTCGTAGCCCACAAAGGCGGCAGTCATCAAATTGTGTTTTTTTATCCTTGTCTGTAGATAATTATCAGGACTCATTTGTATTGATTGTAAAATCTGATTGTTTGCCAAGCTTATGCAACGTGAATTTTATACTTGGCATAACATTAGTATGACGCATTCTCTGGTGAAAATTGCTCTTACAAATCCGTACATTTAATTGCCTACTCTAACCGAATTCCGTACTTCAAAGCCTGGAACCTACGGTATACCTAACCTTAACCCTAACCCGGCCCTAACCCCAAACCTAATAACCTAAAACCCAATAGCAACTCTAACCCTATTCCTTTGACGAAATATATATATTCCAGGAGCAATTGTTAACACAGCAAATGTCAGATCACCCAGCATAACATTTGAATTCTATTTCTGCACAACATCGATCTATCATTCATGTTCATACTTTATAGTACTGTATATGATTATCAAAATGCAAGTGTATATCATCTGCCTAACCGTGTTCTAATTCTGAGATGAACTTTATCAACTGTGTTTTATCTTTAGGAAATCATGGCAGGGGTCATTGAGACTGAAGGGCAAGTTGGGCAAGTCACCGGGCAAGTCACCGGGCAGTAAGAAGGAGAGTAAGATACCCCGCCCTAGACGGAGACCATCAGGCAAGGGAATAGAAGACGGGGAGTTGAAGAAACCTGGGAGTAAAGGGCATGGAAAGGTAATGTTCATCTATATACACATAGGCATATCCAGGGGCATGGGGGCACACCCCCTCCCCTCCCTAGCAGAAGATAATTTAACATACTACTTGTAAATGCAGAATAATTTGCACACTAATCGTGACCCCATGCATCATTGATCCCCCCTTCCCCATCCACCATGGGCACTTGATATTATTGTTTTCTGAAATTTGTAGGCTAGTGCCCCCCATTCCCCCCCCCCCCCCACCACTGATAAATCACATAATCATGATTTTATGAGTTACATAGTATTCTTACATAACCATTTTTTCTCTTCTTCAGATTGAAAAAGTATCTATTTTAAATGTTTGACATGGGCCCAATGGAATCCAGTCTTGTAACTGTGTGGGCTTTTCTACTGTGATGAATAAATAGACTCAAATGTAAATAAATAATTTCAATCAGTTTTCATTTGCACATGAATTCTGTCTCAGAACAGACAATGTGTACATTGTCAATAGTATAATGGTGACTCAGTCGTGATTAGAATTTTCTATTTCTTTTTCATTTTCTTAGCCGGTGAATGCTTCACTATATCAACCTGGTAAGTTCAAACATTTTATATGAGCTTTGACATTGTAATCATCTCTGCATTATGTTAAATCTGAGAATACTTAGCCATTCTTCCCTGGCTACATGTATTTGCAATTTTGCACTGATGTAAGATAAAGTGAATAATCTTCTTTGAGACACATTTTGATTTCTTTTATTCATATGTTGATGTTATGCTTAAGAATTATGCTCAGAATTATGTGCACATAAAGCCAGGGTAATGATGTGATTGCAGGGCCCTCAGGGAGAACAGTATTAATACTGATGAGGCTACCCTGGGTAAACAAGTCATATAATTATTATTACATACAGAACATTGTATATCACAGCAGGAAAATGTGCATCAGGAACAAGAGTGTTTTTAATTTTCAGTGCAAGTTCCTATTAAAATGGATACCTGTTTAGTCATAAAAAGAATTAGTCTGTCACAGCAGTGTGATTAGTAACAAAAATAAAGCTTACCATATCTTTCATTTTTGTCATTATCTGTGGACAATGTAGATGTATGTCTGAAATTGAATTTAGTGAATGAATATTGACTAGTATGTACATACAATGAATTGAGTAATCTGAAGTTGATTCTAACACCTCCATCCCTCTCTCTCTCTCTCTCTCCTTTGTAGCCGCTCCAGCCTTCACCCTACCCTTAATAAACCAATCCTGTCACCTGGGTACCACCGCTACCCTCTCATGCCAGGTGTGTGGTCGACCACGCCCTATGATCACCTGGAGGGACCCACAGGGGGACATCATTGCCCCCTCTACCAGGACCAACGTCTGGGAGAGGGATGATGGTATGGTGTTCTTAGAGATCAGGGCTAGCTGTAAGCTGGATAATGGTGTCTATACATGTACAGCTAGTAATGATGCAGGATCCACTGAATGCAAAGCTCTGCTCAGGATTATATGTGAGTTCAAATCAGCTTGATTTTAACCCATTGGATATGATTTCATATTTGTGTAACCCATATTTTGTGTAGACTCAAGCTCAAGCTATTGCAGGCTTTGTTTACAAAGGGTTAACATTACATTATGTTTGTCTGTAGGATAGCGCCATTCCGTCACAAAAGTACAGAACAAATGTTAACCCTTTTTTTCTTTATGTCTGGGTGTAAGTGAAGATCAAATGAAGTGCACACAGAATGAAAGAATGGACATATTACATACATACTTGTAGATTTATTCCTATGACATCTTTGTAAAACAACAGTGATATACCTAACCTAAACCTAAATAATGTAAGACAATATTTTTTTATCCTGTTCCATAAACTCACAGATGAGAAACATTACTGGGCAATAGCATATATTTTATAGTTTTGTTACTTGCTATTAGCAAAACAAAGTATATGTTTAGTAAACTTTGTTTGATTGTAAAAGAATGAGCCCAGCAAATTACAGTCAAACCTGTCTATAGCGACAAGGGAAACACAAAATGTGGTCTTTGTAGACAGGTTCCTTTAGTACATGTTTCAATGAGAAACCATTTTCAAGGGAAACAAAAAAAGGTGGTCATTAAACCAGGTTTGACTGTATCTCTATTTTTCTGTTTTGCCGATGACTTCATTTGACTAGTTCCATTTGTTTTTTAAACCACCTTGTAGATCGGCCAGGCCCTCCCAGTATACCCATACTGTGTGAGAGAAGACCACACTCGGTGACGTTACAATGGGAACCCTCTCACAACACAGGCAATGCGGAGAGTGTCACATACAATGTAGAATATGCTCAGATCAGTAAGTACCTTGCCCCCAGGCAGATAATGTGAATTGTATTATGTTATCTGATAAATCTAATGTTTCTCTCATTGTGTGTGAATACATGTGAACTACAGATGAAATTGATAATCCTTATCATTCTTTGTTACCCCCACCCTTTTTTTTCCTTCTCATGCTTTCCAGTATACATGTACTTCACATGACTATCATGCTGCATATCCCTTTTCTGACCATCTTTTTCTTACTCTCCTCCCCTTTTTTCATCTCTTAGTTCCCCTTGTATTTTTGTTTTGGTCTTTGTATCTCTCTCTCTCTCTCTCTCTCTCTCTCTTTCCCTCCCCCTTCCATCTCCCTCTCTACCCCCCCCCCTTTTTTTTTTCCTTTCTCTCTCTCTCTCTCTCTCTCTCTCTCTCTCTCTCTCTTTCTCTCTTTCTCTATTCTATTCCTTTATCACCTCCCTTTCTCTCTCTCTCTTAAAATTCTTCCTGTCTATGATCTTATTCTTTATCTCTAACCTCTCTCCCCTCCTCATTCCACTCAAGAGGTGATACATGCTCTAATAAATGGTGTTTATTTATTCCTCAGCTCACAATACCCTTCACTGGCAGACCTCCTGTGCTAACATAGCCCACACCACTCACAAGGTGGACGCCCTGTCTGCTGGGGCATCTTATAAGTTTAGAATCACGGCTCAGAACGATGTTGGGTGCAGTGATAGGGGCGAGACCACACCCGCAGTCACTCTTCCCGATGATACAGGTAAGGTTCAGCAGGAGGAGAGTTCAGTTTTAGATATTCTAGATAAAAGGCTCGTTCACTTATGCTATGGTAAACTACAGCTGGCTTTTGTGTATTCAATGAATGGCAAGTGAGAATACAGAAAGTAGCTGCGCACATCGAATACCCAACACATCTGTGTTTTATAAAATATAATAATGTGAAGGACGGTGAGCTTACGTACGTTTTTGTTTGAAAAGTCGGCAAACCGCACCAGTCACACACCATTTTGTTACACTTGGCATGTAGATGGTAGAAAGTGTACATCAAGAGAAAATATTAATGAATAGGATAGGTGAAATTAAATTGTAATTACATATTAACTCAAATACCTAAACCAAGTTGTGCTTAATAACTCTTAGAAAGTACTGTAAAGCTATTAAACATGTACGAGCATGTTCATAGTATTAGAGAAGTACAGGTGTATGATTGTTTACAAACATGCAAATCTTATAATAATTTGAGATTTGTAGGTCTTCTATCAAGTCGATGACTCATGATGAGATGCTTTTGTTTTTCTTGCAGCTCTTGCAAGGAGGGAAAGCAACCTGTATTGGCAGCACACATGGAGTACAGACTTCAACATCACAAGAGAGATTGGAAGGTAAAGAGGATTTCAAATATCATTGTGAGCCTCTGCTTGAATTGAAGCAAGTTGATTAATATCAGCCAAGAAATTGTAATTGTCCATATGTTTGAAAAGAAACATGCAGTAAAGAAAATATATTGTTGTGGTGGTAGTATCATATACTGCCACATGCACTTGAATTAAAGAGGCCAATAGTTGTAATCTCTGTCCATTTTCTTAGTCCTTATTAGTTGTTTCTTCCAAATTGGATCTATGCAATATTAACCTGGTAGTATGTATTCACTGTTTTCTGATACAATTGCTGTAAGTCTTAGGTAATAAATGACAATATGCATCAGAAATATGTCATATGTGATATTTTCTATATGTTAAAACTGAAATATTGATGTCAACTTTTTCAATCCACAGGGGAAGGTTTTCATCCACTCATGCCTGCACCCGGTCCCAACAACAGAGGACACTAGCAGCTAAGTTTATCAGTAAGCGTTTGATGGATCTAGAGCAGGTTCAGCATGAAGCGTCGATGATGCAGCCTCTTCAGCACCCATTGATCTGTTCTTTACATGCTACATACGAGACTCATGGACAGTATATCTTAGTCTTAGACCTGTAAGTATATCCTTTATCTTGCTTTATCGTAAGAAATGCAATTTGTAGGGCATACGGTTACAACCCACAAATTTATAATGATAGCGAAATTAAAACTTCTGATAGTTCTTTCGTGGTATTTATAGGTACGCACTGTTTCCCAAATTAGGATATGCCGAGACTGATATCACCCAAACATCCAGACTGGCACTAAATATGTGATCAACAACAATAACAATAGCAACAGTAAATGTGTTTTGGCAGCATAAAGCATTGATGAGAACCATGAAGCTACATCTATAAATGGTCATTTTATGATCATTTGAGTATTATTAAATTAGAGTCCAACTTATGGATGAGAAAAAGGCTTTTAATTTCTCCTAACTACAGTGGACAATTTTGTCCTTCTTAATGTATACAGGGCTTTATGTTTTCCTTCAGCATGTACGTGTGGTGGGTTTTCTAAAATTGTGGATATAGTCAAATCCATGTTTTTTTCCAAATGTATCTACAGTTTTTCTTTTTTTCTTTTCTTTTCTATAGAATTCCTGATGGAAGAATTCTAGAGTACCTGGTGAGCCTGTCTCAGGTGACTGAGAGGCAGGTCATTGGCTTCATCAGACAACTGGTACAAGCAGTTAACTATCTACATTCAAATGGAATCATCCATCTAGACATCAAGGTAATTTAGTTCTTTCTCTTTCTTTCTCTCTCTCTCTCTCTCTCTCTCTCTCTCTCTCTCTATCTATCTATCTATCTTTCTCTCTATGTGTTTGTGTGCGTGTGTGTGTGTGTGTCTCTCTCTCTCCATATCTCTCTATCTCTCTCTCTCTTACTTAGTATTTTGTCTTCTCCAATTCTTTGATAATTCTTCTCTAGTCAAATCAGTGCTAACCAAGCCAAATACTTTCATACTGAAAAAAACAAAATCTTTGCCACCTTTCTCATGGTTATTGCCGTCTGTTCTAAATGTGATCTTGCCAGCTTATATATTAGAAGTGTGTGTTTGTGTGTGTTGGGGGGGGGGTCTTAAAACAAATCAGGTTGTGCATTCACTATCTGGAACGTGCAATATAACACAAATCATTCACTTTTCTCTTTTTCATTGAACAGCCTGAGAATGTAATGATGGAAAAAGCTTTGGGTCGAGCACAGATCAAGCTGATTGACTTCGGTGATGCAATGGATCTCTGGTCTTCACCTCCACCCTTCTACCATGAACTCAATGCTAACCCTGAATTCTGTTCTCCGGAGCTCCTCGGTGGAAATGAGATTGATTATGGCACAGACGTATGGTAGGTCACAACTTAAAATTTCTCATTTTTTTCTCCTCCTGAACTGCAATGTTTGGCTTGTGGAAATGACCTTTACATTTATCATATAAACATGCCGATCTGGGACCTGTGTCTTACAGTTTATTATAGATAACAGTGGCCAGATTTCATGGATAAATTATCTTTGCAGCCAGTCACTTGTAATGATATCAATAGCTTACATTACTTTTGTAACTTTTCATCAATAGAAACTTTTATGAAGTAGGAATTTGTGTTTCTAATTCCTTAGAAATGTATATCTATTTGATTTTAGCCTGATGCACGCAATGTATGGCTACTAAGATTGTTGGAGAAATTAGATGACTTCAAAGTGTTTGGTTGATAAACGTACATCGGCTATTATGCTTTATAGTAGTACATGTATGTACTCTAAGTATTCATCCTTTACTTTATAATATGAATTATTTGTAACATTTCCTTGTTGTGGCTTTTCAGTTTCAGTCCAGATTTTATATCCTGCTTCAGAGAATTGCATGTGATTATGTTGTTTTGACTCAAGGTTTTAATTACTTTTCTTTTTTTGTCTCAACTTTTAGGAGTATTGGAGCTCTTTCATATGTCATGTAAGTATTAAATCATGTAGAAAGTTTGATGAAAAAGCAAGGATCATATAAATGTAGTATACTATACCTCTTTACATTGAAAATTATTCACAATTGAAGAAAAATGTCATGATGTTGGGTGTTAGCTATCATACTCATAAATCTTAATTTGATATAGGGAAATTTATTTATTTATTTATTTTGTTTTATTTACCCAGGGTAACCCCATCAGTGAGTAAAACACTGTTATACTCGGGGGCCCTGCAATAGTACAACACAAATTACAAACATGTAAATAAATAAATACAAAACAACAAATATTACTAAGACATCAGACCTGCACGAAATATTAAACTTTTAAGAAAAAAAGAAGAAGAAGAAAAAAAAAAAATCGTCATATATATTTGAATTATATGTCATTTGTGTTTACACAATATCAATTTAGAGAGAGAGAGAGTACTTAGCTTATAGTATTATAAGTTTTTTTTATTAAATTTGTATGTAAATATGTTTTCATACATTATATTTTGATTTATTTGACAATCTTGGCTCATCAATCAATTTATTATCAATCTTTGCTTTTCATCTTTAATTTGATCATCCCAGGCTGAGTGGCATCTCACCATTTCTTGATGAAAGCCTTGAGGAGACCAATATGAACATCATCCGTGTTGACTACAGCTTTCCTGAGGAGTACTTCAAGAACGTCAGTCAGAATGCCAAACACTTCATCACAGGACTGCTTCACGCAGATTCAAGGTAGATATAACAATCTTCTCTTTAGATTGATTTGGATGTGAATTTAGCTATAGTAGTAAGTAAGTCCTTTAAGTCTTACTGACGTTTCTGTACCAAAAGTGGACTAATACCAAATAACAACTACATTTTAGCAAGTCATATATAATATTCTTCCGGATTCGAAAGAATGACCTCATTGTTTGAAATTAATAAGATGATTCTGTCAGAACTTGCTGATGAGGATGAGGCCTCTATTATTTTGGGATTCTACTCAAGGAAAATGATATTTTGACCACAATAAAAAAAGTTTTCCAGTACAATTGTGGTGTAGAAGCTTTTATGATGTTGTGCTGGTAATGATGCAGCATTGAGCTTAAAGGTATAGACTAGTTTTAGAAACGCCCCCCTCTCAAAAAATAAAATGGAAGCTCTTATTACCGATCATGTTAAAGAATATGTTTTGACTAATACGTGATGATACAAATTTTGCCTGGGAACCGCCTACTATTGATATATTTGGTAAATTGTTATAACGATCCGGTCTGGATATATATCAAGAATGCACTTCAACATTAAACTACTGGTCTTTACCTTTAAATGATGCAACATTTATTTGGTAGTCTTACAGATATTCATGTCAATTGATTTATAATATTGATATTTTTTAGAGACAGTTATCAATGGCTAGACTGAATGGTGTGTATCTCTTTTTGTTTTGTAGTGAAAGAAAGACCACCTCCGAGTGTTTGATGAATCACTGGTTTGCTCAGACCTACTCCGCTCAAGATGACCCCGCCCTCATGCACAGAGCCAGGCTAGAGGACTTCATACACAGGAGGAAAACGCAGGTAAGCTTTTTAATCTTATGCCACTACCCCTCACCCCCTGCCCCTACTCCACCCTTCCTCCTTCCACCCTCCCCCACTCCACCTTTCCTCTCCCCTCCCTCACTCCACCTTCCCTCTCCCCTCCCCCACTCTACTTTTTGAAACTTCACTATATAAAGTAAAACCTGTCTATGGAGGCCACCAAAGGGAAACAGGAAAAATGGCCACTGTAGACAGGTGGACTTGCTAGACAGGTTCTACAACACACATTGCAACCTAGATGGAAACATTGTACGTGACCATTATAGGCAGGTGGCCTTGTATTGCATAGAGAGATGGCTATTAAGACAGGTTTGAATGTATAATGCCTTAGGAATAAGAATGCTTAGTTTTGTCTTTTTTTTGAAAGAGTAACAGGTGCATGGATTGTGAAATGTACTTCTGTGTATATATCATCTGTTGAGAGTTGGAAGGATGTTAACACACACATACGTACATGTATACTGTTACATGGTGGCTCTCAGGAAACGGTGTTTCTACCCAATGTTACAATGAGAGAAAGTATTAATACTCAAATCAGAACTCTTTGAAGTCAATTTCTAATAATTTGGTTGCACAAAATTAGGGCTAATCCATTTGATTATCAGTCTCTAATTTAGTTCATTGAGTTGTGTTTCTTTTCATGTTTAGAGACAACATCATTTTTTTATTTTTTTTATTTTACAATGAAATAATAGGATCTCAAATTCCTCATATATAATGCATTTCATATCATCCTTCGGTTTCATTTTTTTCCTCACCTATCCTGAGATTATTAAAGCAAGTTGGTTTAGATGCTTCTTCAGTGCTTTTCACTTTAATTCACCACAGTTTATTTTTCTTTCTATCTAACAGCACAACTTTGTATCAGTGAAAATAAATAGGAGGTAACACAGACATCCATCTCTAGAATGAGATGTCACAAAAGAACATTCTCTTACCGAGCTGCGCCATCTATCCAACTGTATATAATACTACATTTCCATGACGATGTGAAAAATGGAGCTAGTAGTGATGTGCCCAAGTTCTCTCCGATGTTTGCTGTATGGTGGATACTTTCAGGTGGAGCGCTAAGCTTTGATTACCACCAAGCCGTGAAATACGTGATTTGATTTGTTTCCAGCGTTTTTGATGTGGGACTACATCTTGTTACATTGATTGTCGTACACCATCAGTATGCTGATACACTAAGTCATACCATTCATGCTTTTACACAACAAAGTAAAAGTTATCGGCAATCAATTTGATTTATTATGCGTTCGTTCATGGAAATGTATTTTTTTAGTCTGTGCTATGCTGCAATATTGTTGTTGGATGGATAATGTTTTTTAGCAAGATTGGTGTGGGATTTTCTCTATCCTGTTTTAGTTTTTAAAATCTTGCATGATATCTTCTTTTTTTAATACACAAAAGTCTCATTATTTATGTTGGTTACAGTTGCTGCATATGAGAATTGTAATCATAAGCCATACAAAGTGACATGTATCTATGCAAAACGAGATATGAAATTCGAATTTATTTGATAAACATGGATGCTTTAGACTATGCATGCTGATTTGCTAATGTTTTGAAGTAATCTTTTTGTTATTATTACTACTACGGTAACCATATTCATCACAATTACCAAAGAAGTTTTATTTATATGTTAGGACTCCTATACACAAACAAATGTATTGATTATGTGTAATGTAGTAAATTACGATTGTTTAGCACATCTTAGGGTGCCCATTGAGAAGAAGGTGTGCATGATTGTGAAACAAAAGTAAGAAGTCTGTTGAGAGTCAGAAAGGCATTAGCTGCTAAACTTTTATTCAGATTTAATGCCCTTCTAGCTCTCCATAAATAATAAATCAAATCAAATCAAATCAGATTATAGACAATATCAGCACAAATATTTAATATTTAGAAGCTCCATATTCTTAAATGTAAACTGGTCATGAATATGGTAGCACTCATAATTACAAACATTATTTGAATGATTAGAACAACTTTTCTGCATGAACAATGAAATTTCTATATCGATCTTCACTAGCTACAATATAGTTTTTGGGTGGTCTTTTGTGAATCCAAACCATTAACGGACAGTAATAGTGATAAATCATTATCGCATACATGTATGTATATATGATTGACAACCCCAATGCAGACATGTACCGGTATGTGTTTTTATTTCTTGTTCATGGAAACACATCTGATGCATATTACTTACAGCTTATATCTTTTGTCTTAGTTTTTGCATTTTAATGAATAAGCATGTACCATCACATCTGTAAAAAAAACTCTACATATCCTCAGGATTTCTATTCGTTTCTCTTATATACTTACATGTTGATAAAGGATGTATGTGCCATGTACATGATAGCCATAGTTGTTTTGTATGTTAGTGAATTTGTACATGCTGAACCTAACAGTATGCTAAACAGGGCCTCTGATACCATTATGTTGCAATATTTTTGTACCACTGTGTAATTTGGTCAATTCAATCTATTTTTGTGTACTTATGATAATAAACTACATTGTTTGTAGATTGGACTTCAATTCATTGTACTGAAATGCATTTAAAGATTGTTTATTTTTGTATGGGAATAAAATATGTATTGCATGAAGTCATGGAAATGTAATGGACTGGTAGAAGACTGCAGTTAGGAAACAAAACGTCTCTTTTCTGATTTCCTTATAGATTGGAAATAGTCGAGGTTATTCTTTAAAAAATGGTGTCTATATGAAGTGTTCTGTGGGTTTTTATTGGCCAAGCATGTACACTATTTTAATCAGTGTACATGTTGACAGGACTCAGTTGTGAATGGTCCTCTTTACATGTACTTCACTAGGAATAACGTTGAAATTTTGCAAGAAAATTTGTATGATCTGATGAAATTGTCATTTCCAGTCTCACCGTAACCCAAGCATGTTGTTAGTGCTACATAATAACTTACCACAAATCATGTACTGGTAAATTTCATTGTTATTGACTCTTGTTTGACCACCAAGCATGTGACATCCCTGTTGACTTATATCATGTTCAAAAAATTGATATTGTGCATTAATGCTTTTCCAAACAAAATAAATTATTATAGATAATCATATCATACTGTTTGTTTCAACTCTAGGTGTGTTTCTTTTTACTTTTTCAACCCTTGATTCCAAAGTAGAGACATCTACGGTAGGACCTTTACATGTACAAGATATCATGTTATACATCACAGTTAATTGTTACATTTGACTCTTGTGTTAACAAAAGATCAATAGTCTGTGACTAGATTATTCTCAGCATTTTAGATATCAATCTGAAGCCTTACTTTGGATTAAATGCTTTGTTTAGGAGTGAGAGAGAGAGAGAGATAAATTGTGCATATAATTATTATGCCGTTGTACGATAAATCATACAGGCCTGGGCAAAATGTTCCCTGCATATCACACATACTTGTGAAGAAAATGAAATTAGAAGAAAAGAATGATATAGTTACACAGATAGCTTTTCAGAGGGAAGATTCTGTGGAGGTAAAGTGGTTCATTCACTTGACTCTCAATCCAAGGGTCAAGGGTTCAAATCCCAGACCGGCTCTAACGTCCTTTGGCAGGACATTTATCCACATTTGCCACTATCTACCCAGGTTTAATTGAGTACCCGGCAATTGCTGGGGTAATAATAATTGCAGGGCTCTCAGGAAGATCAGGATTGATGCTGAAAAAGGCTTCCCTCGGAAGAAAAAATTGTAATTGATATTATTTTGTCAGCAATGCAACAAATAGCAACATATAATTATGTATAAAAGCCACATGTCTTTTATCCAGTGTATACAACAATTCGCAAAGCTCTTTTGTCTTGTGAAGTGCAAAGATATTACTAAATATGTGATGTGTTCTGAAGGAGAATGGAATATCATTATTGCATATAACAAAGAAAAAAAGAAGAGTGTGAGAAAGAGGATAGGCATAACTAGACTGACAGATATGGGGATTAAGAGCGATTAAGCCAGGGTATAATGTTTGTGATAGTAAACCATTTTGTATGTGGAAATTAGAAGTATATGCATGCTTGTTTTGTATTGACATGTTAACTTGCCTTAATTAAGATCTCGATTCAAAGACGATATACAATTGTCATTCGTGTTTTATTATTTTACTGTATAGGTGAACTGTATAATGTGAACTGTTTTGTTGATGTTTGTATATGAGATTGTATATTTCTTGTAGATGAAGAGAACCAAAAAATGAACAATTAAATGTACTATCAAACATATAATTCTGAAGTATTCTTGTTTCTGTTCTAGCCTTTTAAATCTTGTCCCTCACACACACACACTTACGCACCCACATTTGTGATTTTGAACGTGGACTCTTAATACACATCGGTATGTTATTACATATCCAAGGACACACATTTGTGTAGAAATATAACATACCATACATAGGATGATCTGGAAAATTACTGCATAACCAAGGACCTAATTTTCCATGCGATAGAGCAAATAAATAAACGTAACCCTTATATGACAGGTTCTCAAATTTCAAACAATTTGCAGGATTCTCAGACCAAAGACATCCTTGTATTGCGAGTGGTCATTAAAGTGAAGGTACGGTTCTTATGAGTGTCCTTGTTACCCACCCACCCACATACACAGACACACCACCATGCACATGCACTTCACACATATGCACACTCAACAGACTGCAAGTACATTTCTGATACTTAATGACTGGTATAAAAGACACATAACATATACAATAGATCAGTTTGGTGATGTATTAGTTTAATTGTTAAGCATTTTGTCTGAAACAATTTGGAAAGCTCGTGTAGTGACTTGCCTGACCTAGCAATATATAGTATTAGCAAAATATTTATCTTGAAAAGAGACAATTGTTTTAAATGGAAAAAAACTCATAGAATAAGAGATATGAATTGAGAACATTAAAAAACTTTAAGAAAACATACATACATGTAGGTATATGGGAAGGTAACAAAATGAAAGGAATGGTAAGAGGATATAAAGAGGTGGTTTTATCCTAATTTCAGAACAATGAATAGTGTTTTTTATCATCAGACGCAATACAAATTATTTAAAACCTAATTTCCATAAGAATAAGGCATTTGTAACAAATAATCGTGAAAAATATAAGGTGATGCCATATTTGAATGTTATGTAAAAGTCTAATCTATGCATATAATATTAATAATTTTAAGGTCGTGTACGTTATGAACGTTTGAAAAACAAGTAAATTCATACTAACTAGTTGCATTGAAACAAGATATTCTTATCAAAGTGAATGACAATTTATCAAACCATTCTTTAAAGGGTTTAATTATTGATGTATGGTCGGTCCGTCCTCAACAACTTTTCTGCAGAGATTTCTTTTAGAATTTTAGATGATAAAAGGGAAGATACTAGTAATTCTACGTTGTTGTGATTTTTTTTTCCTTAAGTGAAATGTTAATAAAAATGCGAGGTAGAAAACCATGTAGATGCGATGCAGAGACGTGAGTTTTAACACTGGCAACCTGTATATATGCTGAAGTATACCAACATGTTGTCTCAAAGCGAATCTCTGAGATTAATTTGACGGGAGCGCTCCATGCATATATGTTTACCCAATTCACCAGAAATCATGGATAAAAATACCAAATGATCTCAAACAAATATCTTTTGATACAAGGATAACAACCAGAGACTATGATATTAATAATAGTCATTTCCAATATTATTTTTCTACCAAAATTGTGCATGAGCTTTAACATTGTCATTATAACTTTACATTAATCAATATGCCTAATCAGCGGTCATCATCAATCACCTATCTGTGCATTGCATCGATCCCATAGACATTGGTTCAAAGTGATAATGCTCCTCGTAAATGCTATTTCGATACAAAGTATATAATACACTCATACTCATATAATGTACCCATTACGTAACTATAATAGACACTCTGTTTAATATGAGCAAACTATTGTACTTGTTTATGATTGATATTCATAAATTGTACTTTAATGTAAAATATGATTTTAAAGTGAGTAATATTATTAATACATGTATATGAATAATGAAATTAAATATACATTCATTGATGAGATCATGTGATCATAATATAGTTAGAATTAAAATTATAATTCATTGTTTTGAATTTTAGTGTTGATTCTATAAAGATTAAGCTTAAATTATTAATATGACTTACTGGGTGATTAATGAGTAATGTGTAATTTGAAGTTTATTCGATTGATTTATGCTTGATGTTATATACTTTGTAAACATTTCCATTTATTTGGACGATAAAAAACAAAATCAATCATCATAGCAGTTTCTTATACTACATTGGATAGTTTCAACTGAAGTTGGTCCCAACATTTCTTTCTAAACGAGGCAAAAAGATATGTGTAGCAGAAAGTCAGCTTGAAAGAATAAGAAGTAATTCTTTTTTAAACCTTAGATTTCAAAGCAAAAATTACTATTGGAAAGATGGAAGATGTGACGAAATATCTTTATTACGGTTACGCCTTGCCGTAGGTTTTGAACTCGGCTATCCGCCTATCCGGTATGAGATGCTCATCGAAATACGTATGAATCAGCGCGGGACTGTAACCCGGGCTGCTAGCCTCCACCGTTTCGGTTAACTGGTAACCGAAGTCATCCATTCGACCTTTGTACGAGAAGCAACTTGAGGAAGGGCGGCCATAAAATATCGGACCGTATGGGAAAATATCCGCCACCAAGTCGGCTTCTTCATGTAGGGCGTTGCTCATATCTGAATCAAACTTTCCGACCGGTTGGACCGCGGACCAAATTTGCGTCCGAACACGAGGATCCGGCTTCTATATTTGAAGAAGAAAAAAACAGTTGTGGGAATGAGCCCTTGACATATACAGCCAGGGGTCTATGAAATAAGATTAGTAGTATGCCTTTATGGTCTTGTGTCTTCTGTGGGGTTGGGAGGGGGTGGGGTTAAAGTGAAGAAGATCTTTAAAAACATATCTCATGAAAACCATATTTAGCACACCTTCACCGAAAAATTTAAAGGTCAGAGATCCCGTTGTCAAATTACAGATTGAAAGATGTAAGAATGACGCATATACGGAAGTGAAAATGCCATGTAAACCTCACAGGAAACACACTATGAAACCCAATTTTGTTGCGTGAAACAGTCTGACATCCGTGGGATTTTTTTATGGAAACCGAAACAAAAAGAAGGACGACTTATCTCCATTATTTCTCATTGGCATATATAAGAATAGGCCCATTAGTAAAAACTAATGTAAGACAAACCTATAGTAATGAATTCATGCTTGTAAAGTGATAATCCCGGTATACAAATTCATGTATATTACACTATTTGCAGAGAGCATTCTCTTTTAGAATGCAAAGTGAAACAAAAATTGTTTAAAAGCTAGTTAAGAAAAGTTTTTTAAATATTAAAAAAATACATAAGGGGGCCAGGCATATACACATTTAAAGTACTGTTTAACTTGAGAAAAAGGAGGAGGAGGAGGGTGGGGGGGGGGAGAAGAAGAAGATAAACCTGCCGTCATTGATAAATGATATCAGTGACGTCGCTAGAGGGGCACTGGGTCTCTCAAAGACCCAAAAGAAGGTTTCCCGAGACCCAGAGTAGAACCAAGAACAAGACTGAGGTGACAATTCGGTCACTTTTGTTTCATGCAGGGCCAAGACCAAGACCGAATCATATGAATTATCAATATAACCTAGTTATGACTAATGACAAATAACTGAGCCCTTATATGCACTATTTTAGTATAACGAACCTTATCGATGGTGATCAACAGTTTGTTGACGTTCATTCGTCTCTGGAAATAACACCCGGCAGCAGCAGAAAGGAAGACAAGTACAAGAACCACTGCCACGATCACAAGGATAAACCGAAAACCGAAAAATTCTAGAAAGAGGCAAGGTAGTTTTAAGATATTATGCTCAAATTATCAACATAACTATGTATCTCCTTTGAAAATAATCTTGGCAATTAATTGCTTGACACAAAGAGACGGGGGGACACCCCCCTCAATTTTTTTAGGGGGATCGTCACCCCCCCCCCCCCCCCCGGAAAATTTGAAAAAGTGAGAAGGAAAAAAATGTATACCAAATACTGAATAAAGACTGCCTACCACTTTTAGGATCTGGAGGGCCCAAGAGTGCAGCGTTTAGACTAATACAAATGCAAAAATATTCTGGCTCGGTCGCTACGCTCCCTCGCATATTATGTCCTTCAAAATAAACAAGTAAATATTGTAGACAATCTGTATTGCGTTGTACCGTGATACCAACGGTCATGAAAAGAAATCGCCGCCCCTGGTCACTATAGTATACCTTTACAAATTGCAATTATTTAATGCATGCTTGTTAATACACAAATATATATTATTGTTACACTTTATTTTCTCTTTCTTTCTTTCTTGTTAAAACGAAATATTGATGTGTATAAAATTATATCAGTGATAATTAATGAATTCAATTAAATTAGATCCATACTTACCGTTTCTTCGACACTCTCGTTGCTCCTTAGCTGACCCCATCATCTCGGTAGGCAGCGAGTCCGTAGCAACTGGATGCGATCCCGGGGGTTCTTCTTCGGTAGTGGTATTGGTGGTGATGGCGGTAAGGGGTGTGGAGGCGCAGACACATCTTGGGGGAGATGATTCGATATCGCCGGTTGTAGAATGAGCAATAGTAGATGTTGTAGGCTGCGTGGTGACAGGGGTTTCTGTGAGACATTAATTAAACAATCCTGAAGTGATAGACCATATTTCGTGTATTTATCGATAATAATAATAAACAATAGTGAACATTTATAATGCGCCATGTCTGTCAAAAATAACACTCCTGGCGCAGTTGTGTGGAAGTTGTTATTGTGGGCAAGAATTCAAGAAAGAAAGTAAAATACACATAAGTTACAGTTTAACATACTTCAGGACATAATTTGCAATAATACAATAATACAATACAAAGCATATTACAGTAAATCAAGTTATATAAGGGTGGTACAATGTAAGACATAATTAAACAAACTAATATGTTGAGAACAGAAACGTTTTTAACAAAGACTTGAACTGTGAGTAGGTGTTCTCATTACGGAGGTGAGAAGGGAGTGAGTTCCACAGTTCAGGGCCAGAACTTGAAAATGAACGCCTTCCCCAGGAGTGCCGGCCGGAGTCGTCGTGGTGGTTCGTAGAGGTGTACTAGGTCTTGTATGTATGAGGGTGCAGTGCAGTGAAGAGCTTGATAGATGAGGAGAATGACTTTGAAGATGATGCGCTTGCGGACAGGAAGCCAGTGCAGTGCCTGAATGATGGGTGAGATGTGAGTGGTGCCTTTAGTGAGCGTGATCTCAGGAAGAAAACGATTATTATTACTGCATATATTTCCATAATAACAAATAGACACATTGCACAAAATCTTTAGTCCAATATATCAATCAATTCATTCATAGCGCATTTTAATATGTGCAGTCACTAGACCCGCCTCTTCTTCATCATTTCCTTTTATCAATGCATGATATTATGATGTAATTAATACGTCAATGTTGAAAATAGCAATCGAACTAAATCACCCAAAATAAAAGAGAAGAATCTCACCAAAATAAGCACAAAGCTCGAGTGAAAATCCCGTCCCTCCGGACTTGTAGGAAGTGGTGAAGAGCACATGGATGGACGGCCCCTGTGAGCGATAATGGAATATTCCTAACACGTCATCATCTGGTTTCTTCCCAGTCCACCGGACCCACGTGGTTATGCCGCTGTTCACGAAACGATCAGTCGTGTCGCCGATAAGCAGATGATGGTTGTCAGACACGAGATCGAAAGCTTCCACGGTGACATTGATCACCGATCCCACAGGTGCTTGGACCGTCCAGAGTCGGTAGCTGTTGTTCGGGTACTTGTTCGGGTAATTCGGGGATGTTATCGATGCAGTCGGACTGTCCGAAGTTAGCCTCAAGTCGTCGACTATTGCAATAGAAAATAAGAAAGGGAAAGAATTAATACGAAGGCTCTTTATATTCACAGAAAATCATAAAGAAGTGTCACCTTTTGGGCAATTTCATCACAATTGTAAGCCATTTTTACGTAGCTTTGACATTTCTTACCGAATTTCCGTATTTTAATAATAATAATAAATAAATAATAATAATATATATTTCAAAATCATTTTGTCTCATCATCAAGGCAGTTTATTCAAGAGGGGTGTTGAATCGAATTTGCAAACAAGGAAGCTATGTGAGCACAAAAACCGAGTATTTGACTAACCACCAGAGTGGATCCTCTCCACATCAATGATGAATTCATACGACCAATCGGCCTTCGTAATGTGAGACCGGAACCGAATCCAGAGTGAATGGGTCAAGGATATAACTGTACTTGGTCGATCAGAGTCACTGAATCCAGCTAGCTTGGTGAAGGACACACCGTAGATATCATCAACAGGTTGCGTGCCGTCACCAAACATGAGAACGGAGTATAATTTAAGTAGTCTGAAGCTGTGGAAGTTCACCTGAATAATTTGATAATAAAACAATATTAGTACGTTAGTGGAAGATCTAGTAGCGGCTCATGGGGCTCACGACTCACCCCCCCCCCCCGCCCCCACAAAAATGTGGGTGCCCACGTTCGTCTGTTAAGAGAGTCAGAAGGATGTTAACTCTTCCTGTAACACAAAGTTACCCCCTCCCTCTCTTTCCCTTTATTTGGCTGCACTTAATATTCTGTGCTGGATAATTAGGACATGAGGTGTGTCATGTGAGTTAGGTGCATGTTACTGAGTTTCTATTTTATGTTTAATTTGTTAATGGTCTTTCCATCAAAGAGTCTTGAATAATTTTGTGTTGATCACCAAAGTGTCGCAGCAGTTATCTACCTGAGTCATTAATCATAATCGTTGGCAATTACTGCAGGATTGTCGAGTCGAGAACTTCTCAGGTAATAATTAACTATCAGATTATTCACCAACACGCAAAAAACGCAAACAATTCATTATTGACAAATTGCATAAACGAAACTAACTGTTTCATATTAAGATATGATTCAATCAACCTTCAAATTGAAAAGAATAAGATCCAATTGAACAATACTTTGTAAACCAAATAAAATGCTATAAAATTCTTTAAGTGATCATGTTTTATGGAGTGCTATTGAATTTGTCATTTACTCTCGGTGCGTTCATCTGCGTAAATATAGGCCTGTAGGGCGTTTCACAAAACTTGTCATCAGTGACAAATGACAGCTTTTGTTAAAAGCTACTGAAATCCTTGCTTCTGATTGGCTATCAGCAGAACTATTATCACTGATTGTTGTCATTTGTCATTGAAAAGAAGCTTTGTGAAACGGGCCCCTGATCATGTTTTTTGGCCAGATACTTCATACAACATAATATTATGTCGTATATTTAGAAAATATGAATTTAGTAGGTGTAATTATATCCCATTATTGTAGCATTCATTAGAAAGGAATGTGCGCAGTAAATACTAGTCATCACGAGTCATTAGATTTAATAAAAGGAAGCATAATTTCTGAAGCTATAATCAGTGTCCCAAGGAATTTCTTTTTTGGGGGAGCCGGGGGGGTGGACGCCTGAGTCTTGAATGGGATGCTCTTAGTATTTTATACCAAACATTTTTATTGAGAGATGTGGGAGTATTGTGATATAATTATTTCAAAGGCTCCGGATTCTCGGCACTGCATACATCCTTAGACAAGCTTGTTTACCCACATTACGTCTATTCAGTGGGTAAATAATTATTAAAGATGGAGGTACATTTAAGCAGTGTTAAAACTGGTGAGATTAATATGGGTAGGCATATAAGACCACATTAATGCTTTCCTAATGCGGCAGTCATTATTAGGGATCCCTTTGTCCTGGTGTTGATCCACTCCAATTTGAGTGGAATCTACTCCAAAATGGTGATTGCGTTAATATGTAGAAAGGATTCCACTCTGATCAACGTATGTTTTCACTCTTAACGAAGTGATCCCTGACATGACTTCTTGAAGGGAGTTTTCACGTGTGTACACTTAAAGTAGACAACGACAACTCTTCAAAAACACGTTAAAGGTGAAATTCAAAGAAAATCACAATATGTCAACTAATGTATCACTAGAAACTGGTAAGCTAACAGATGGCCATCGTACAAGTTTTAGGTCAACTACATATCGGGTGATTTAAAAAAAATACAAATACAACCACCTCCATAGCAGCTGGGATATACGAGAGATTCGCCTGAAAAATAACGATGTTTTAATGACGTCACTATATGGACCAATACTGCTCAAGCAGACGACATCCCATAAAGAATAAACATAATTGCAAAGCTATTATTTGTCAAATTATAATGAGTTTAGTGTATATAAATGTAATGGCATGTCAAACCATTCAAAAAAAGATATGACCCGAATCTGATAACTAAAATCTTTTGCTTGTAAATACACAGGATAGGGGTTAATTAACAATTTAAAAAACCAGACTTTCAAATTGAAATACCCCCGGAATGATATTAAGGACGGCATTTGTTCCCTCTTGAAACGCCGAACATACCGTGGTGTGTGCAGCTGAATATACAATGGCGTCTTATTTTGTTTACAAGCGACAGATTCCTTTATTTTTGTAGCGCTGCATTTGTCATCAAAATAAAACAATGCGCGGGGTTTAGAGTGAGGCAATAGATTATAAATTTAGCCTGACGGTAGTGAAGTAAGAGAAAAAACTCAAGAGAAGATGAAAACACAGGCACTGAAAATGTGTGAGATGTCATTGGACATCGTCTGCTTGTGCAAATCATGTCCATACTGTGATCTCACACATCTCAGCAGCGTTCGGAGAGCTCTTCAGGTGCTATGCCGGGGCTGTATTTAAGCGTTTTGTAATTTATAATAATCAGTACTTCGTATGTTTCCTAGCATTGAATTTTGATAACCATGTCGAATCAAAGTTTCAACTTTGCAATAATGAAAATAAAGTTAGTTTTTAAAATCAATGGATATCTACTTTAAAACAAGCTACACGTTTCATAAGCTTATCCAGGGACGTACGCAGGGGGGGGGGGGGGGGGGGGGTTGGGGGTTCAACCCCCCCCCCTTGGTATTTTTATGTGTGTAAACCCCCCTAAAAAAAACTAGAACCCCCCCCCCCCCCCCCCCCCCCCCCTTGGTTTTTTTTTTTTTTTTTTTTTTTTTTTTAATAAAAAATTAAAAAAATTAAAAATTAAAAATAATAATCATGCCCACGGCTAACGTAAAGTGACCTTACCCCCCCCCCCCCAACGAAAAAAATGTCAATTTTTTTAAATTTCGAGACCAAAAAAAAAAAAAAAAGTGTCCGCTTACCCCCCCCCCCCCCTCCCCCCACCCCCTCCCCCCCTCCCTCCCCTCCCCCCCCCCCCCCCCTCCCCCTCTCCCCCCCCCCCCACTGAGCGACTTTTCGGCCGGCGCGATTTTCAAATTTTCGGGAGCAAAATATTTTGGGCCAGATTTTAAACCCCCCCCCCCCCCCCCTTGAAAAAATCCTGCGTACGCCCCTGAGCTTATCAATATGTGTGTGGTTGTGTGCGTGTGTCTGAGTGCGTGTGGGTGGATGTGTGTACGTGTGTGGAGATGTGAGAGCTTATGTTATGTTATTTAATGTTTACATAAAAGTAGGCGAGTTCCATAATACTGTTGGTATATCTCTTGATCCTCACCTGCAAGCGCATGTTCTCATCGGTCCTTATGATCCATGTCATTTCAACGGGGGGTTCGGAGCGATCCAAGGTAGCTACGGCATCCTCATAGGAGATGTGATGAGTTGGGTGGCTCTGACTCAGGGTCACATCTACGGGCATAAGATGAATCAAAGCAAATGATAGTGGAACTGTTGATGGAGTCCCTGCTACGGCACTACATTCTTTGGCACGGTTTATATTTGCCACACCCCATCCAGGCGAAATGAATTTGTACCTGGTAGGGTTATTCCTTGGAATGCATTGTGCACAGACAATGCAGGAGCTAAATCTGTGGTAATAATGTCCTAAGATCTCTAAAGGCGCATACGGGTGTCATTATCATATTGTTATATAATAATAATAATAATAATAATAATAATAATAGCCTAATAGTCCACTCCAAATTTTATTAAACCGAAACGGAAATTCTTTTTGCCCAATTGATCGTGAGCCCGGCAGCCACTGAGCAGCGCCAGATCGACGTTGCTCTATCCCTTATTGTTGAACGCCAAACAAGGTAGCAACAACTCCCATCTTTCAACGTCTTTTGGTATGACGCGGCCGGGGTTCGAACCCACGACCTCCCGGTTGTGTGGCGGAAAAAAAATGTCGGAAATTCGTCGCCGTTTTCACGAACCGGCACAGCCCAACGCGCAACGAAATAAGTACATTCTGAGAAAAACGTGTTTTACGTTTAGCCCGTTTTGAATTCGCCAGAAACATGCCTTATGTCAAATTTTATATCACAAAATACATATCAATGAAAGGAAAATATTCTGTATTTTCTATACATTCCATTTGTTAAGCATAATGACAATTACTATTAATATTACGAAGCTTTGGACTCTCGTGCCGGTTCGTGAAAATATTATTTTGCTGTTTACGTAGCAAAAATATTTTCACGAACCGGCACAAGCCACTGTGTCGTTTTTCCTATGTAACTTTACGCGCAAGACAAAAGCGCTCGCGCCGTCTTAGCGCGTATTTTATTTTCACGAACCGGTACAACCGCCTGTGTTGCGTCGTCTAGGTAAGCGCAAAGATATTTTCACGAACCGGCACAGCCCATTGACTTATAACGGCGCGTGCCGGTTCGTGAAAATATGAATCGTGCTTTTTGGCTCGTGTGTCGTTTTTGTCATTTGTGTAACCATGGATATCTCAAAAACTAAAGCGTTTTGGATGCTGAAATTTGGTGAGATGAAAGATTGTTGATAACTTATGCTAAAAATGCAAAAAAAATAAAAACTACATTTTGAAGGGATTTCGGTGGCTTGTGCCGGTTCGTGAAAACGGCGACGAATTAATAAGGTCGGAAATTAACTGATTTTAGTGTCACTAGTGTAATTGAAGGGAACAAGGGAGACAACGTGCTGAAAGAGCATCCGATTTCTCTCAAGATCCGCAAATAAATTAGTTCTCCGTTTACAAATGTAATAGAACATAAAGTTGATTTTCATTGAAGCTTTATAACGTAATGTGCACTTCAAAAGTAGAAAGGTCAAATGAGCTATGGATTACATTCTGTAGCAAAATACTTAGGATATTTTATGACGACATCATGACTATTGATAGATCTGAGCAATTCCATTGAAAATGGAATCTTACACTAGCCCAAAAATATCAACATGACAATAACCCCAGAAATATATGTTCCACTGTGACAGAATAGGTATCAACCAAAAGCACTCAACATGCTTTTTATTTTACTTTTCTTGGTATATCAGTTGGAGTGAGTTACGTTCAGTCATTGTTTCCTCCAATTTAAGGGCAAAATGCGGCAACATCTTAGTCAATACACACGATATTTAAATCTTATTATTTCACACCATAATCACTTCAGATTTGATTCCTTTGTAGTGAGTTTTGTTGAACAAATTACCCATAAGAGCTTTCCATGACACATTTACCATGAGCAAGAGTATAAATATGCCCATTACGCTTAATTTGTCATCATATATTTGTTTTAAATGTTAAAAATCGTTGTCCATTTTGTGTCATATCAATACAAAAAGTGAATTAAAAATATATATATTCAGTGGAATACTGTGAATTTTGCTATGTATGTGATTGATAGCCAAATGCGTCTTAATAACTGACTGAAATATGATTTTGTTTAAAATATTTGTTTGTTTTAAAACTTCTTAAATAACCAAAGAGGATTCTGAATGTCATTTCCGTTAGGCTGGAATTTGAATTTTAGATGGCCCGTAATGTTAAATATCTATTCACCCAGTATACAGTTAACTCTATTTCATTTAAATCATTAATGATGTACCATTGACAATCAATCTAATAGAATCTGGATATAATCATTACGAAATAACAATTATTTCTATAATACTAACCAAATGGGTTTCCATTTTTGGCGGACTGAGTTTGCGTTGTCAGTGTGTTCACAAAAAGAAGAGTTATCGTCAACTTGCTACAAATATCTGCCATAGTTTCTCAGAGGTAGATACCGAAAGATGGAAGCAACATCGTGGAAGCTACGTGTAGATAACCTTTGTAAATACACACTCGCTGTACTTGTGGAGACGTGTATTATTTTATAAACAAAATGTACTTGATAATGATAACCCTTTTCTGAAAACACTTCGATCTGTGCGCGCATGTTCAGTTCCAGCGGCGAGGAGATAGATAATGGAAAGATAGCGCCACCATATATATGCCTTTCCTCATTTGTATTAATTGTCCCTTTATTAATTTCGAAACTATTCAAGGAAACAATTTCACTTTCAGTTTAATCAGTAAAACTCTCTCATATTTGCTTCATTTAACACAAATGCGGAAGTAACAAAAAACAAAATTCTCGGCAACTGATCCAAATAGGCTTTGCACGCGATAAATAAACTCGTACATTGCCCCCTTATTGTTTTACTAATGTAACTAATCATGGGCGTTGCTATAATATTTGTAATAAGTTGGAGGATTGGGTAGTAGGTGAAAATTTGCCAACAGGTTTCACCGTCAAACAAAATTTATTTCAACTTCATTTAATTAAATTCAATCAAAGTTGATTAAAACATGACTGGCAGTCACATAATGAAATGTTCATGTTTTTACAATGCAAGTAAAATGCAATATTTATACAAAATTTGCAGCAATAAGAAAACAAGTAAAATAGAATTTAGAAAGGTACACAGAATAAATTACATTAATACAATTTTAAACAGAGAATATATAAAAGACTGTTGTTACAAGCATTATCATTGCATAGAAGTACATCACTGCTTTCAATGTATAATAGAGTTCGATGGTAAAATGTAATAGGTCAAGGAAAAGAAAGGAAAGCGTTTCTGGATAGGCCGATAGGGAAGTATAATAGGAAACAGAAAAAGGAATGAGATGTTACATATTGAAGAGTGGAAGAAAGAGATTGGTGGATTTTATTTAAAACAGGAGAGCGAAGTAAAGAATAAGGAAAAGAGAAATAAAGAGTTATTGGAGAACTGAATGAAGAAATAAGCATACACAGGTACATATTGTAAAAAGAGAACGAGGATGGAAGTTGTTCAATAGCAATAATGTACAGTGAACATTTGAGTACATATCAAGTTTAGATTTGCAAAATGTCAATTGAGTATACTTTGCTTGTCTAAACAAACACTCGAGATGTTCCTTTGATAGATAAAAACAGAATGTAATTAGTTCTAAAAATATATTCTGATGATAATTTTGTTAAGACAAGCAAAGCATACTCTATTGTCACAAAACTTTACAAAATGACCGCAAAAAATGTTGCAATTCTTTGCCACACTGTAAAAAAATAATAGTCGAAATAACTCAATAAAATTGAGGAAAGGAATTGCCTTATTTTTATTAAGTAAATATTACCTACGGCATCTTAAGTAGAATTTACTTATTATGCTGAATAAATTTGTACTCAGTTAAATCGTGTTACATTAATCATTTTAGATAATTAAAAAAAAGCTATGATAGGATTACATATTGCACGATTTGGTACCCATCTAATCTAACAAGTAACATCCACTAATCATTCACTACTTCTATTTACCACCATCACAAACTATTACATACGCTTCAATTCGACACATATTGAAAGGCTCCAAATTTTATATATACTTGATCGTAGCATCTTAAAAGGAAAATTGATTGACAATTTCCTGAAATATCAAGTTTTGATTTGTTTTGAACTGGGTAACAATTAAAAATTGTCTTGTCTTTGCTTAGCCATGTTAAATGAATTAGTAAATGTTTTAAAGTCCTTAAATTTTCATTCAACCACAAAAAAGAATTGTTTTATTTAAAAAAGAGTTTAATTTGGTCTTAATGAATATTCATGAATTATGTAAATATTTATATTACGCACTGCATCGGTCCTTACTTTAAAAAGATAAGAATAATTAACATAAATTGTTTGAGTAATACGTATAATTTCTGATTTTGAGTTAAAATTACTAAATTAATACAAGCTTAAATTACTTATGTTCTTATGTATTTGATTTTACTTAAATATTCCACGTATGTTCTACAAAATTGAAAGTTTAAGTTAGCAAGACTTAAATTTAGTGCGTAAGTGGCAAAACTAATGTTTTCAAGTAAATTCTACATGGAAAAAATACGTAAAAATTACCAATGAACAAATTCTTTTTTACAGTGCACGAAATCACTGGTAGCCCAAAGATCTGCACAGTGACTCCGAAAATGTTGAAACATTTTGACCGCGAAACGACAGTTATAGTTGTGATATTTCGCAAGGATTTAGGGAGTCGAGTATATAATACAAACGAAAAATAGACAGTTTCTCATAATTTTGTAAAGCAAGTCTGCAAGTGCATAATATGGTTACCCGCCATTTCTTCTTAACAATCAAATAAAGAAGGTGATGAAGATCTTTTCTTGTATTAAATGGTGTAAATCGTCTATATAGGGTTTATATTCTACTGTTTTATGAATTTGATTATTTGCGAAATATGTGATTATTCGGAGAATGGAATAAAAGAGTACTATATGGTTGAACTGAGCGAAATATTGTTCGTTTTTAACAACCTATGACCTATGTAGCTAAGCGAGCAAATTTATGAAACATTTTCTTTTGATTTAGTTTTTTTTCTCGAAACAAAATTAGAATAATCCATCTCGTTTTCGAATTTCAGGTTTCGTAACCAACACACCCGTTGTTTATTGAATATGGCTTGTGGGTGATTTTGTACTCATAATTTAAAGGATTAACCTTAACAATTACCCCCCCCCCCCCCCCTCTGGTCACTGTGCCCTCCTGGATCCACCCCAGAGTCCAACTCACATTTGCCCATCCTGGCTACGCCATTGTTAAACCTATAGTTGCCATGGCTACGCGGACATGAAAGGGAGGTGCTTACCCTACCACTTACCAAAAGTCCCATTAATCTATTTACGAGTACACTTAACTATACTTTTGGTTTCACAACATGAAATTATTAATTTTTAAACCTACATCTTGTGAAAGTATACTTAACACTGAAACCTTGCTCGTAATGGCATCGGCCCTATACTACGTATATGAATACTGCACTAGAGTCGAGGTCTTATTATAAAGAATATCACCAGTCAGGCCTAAATGGAGACAATTTCCAATGATACACAAGTATATAAAAGGAGTATTTAAAGGTGTTGGTATCAGCTTAGGTCTATTTCGGATGGAAGAGTGAAGGTTTATTCTCTTCGTGTCTCTAATTTTCTTACCGAATGTTTACCCTCCACCTGTCATAAATGGGAGTGATAAAGAGTTGGTATATATTTCTTCATATACTCGTGGCGATTTACATCTGCTGTAAAGGACGTAAGTTGACTTTGTGTCTTAATTGCTTCTATGTTGAATATTTTACTTGACCAAAGCTGAGCAATTTGATTGTTACTATTCATTTCGTTTTATCATATTTTCACATTTTGATAAAAATCACAATAAAAAACATTTACAATACAAAGTAAATTCAAACAAATAACACAACGGAACAGAAGTATCAAAATATGGGGGGACAAACAAAGGTCAAAGGCCTATCAAATGCTTGTCCCCAAACTATATAAATAATTAAATATAAATTAAGTGGTACAACAGGAAGACAGAAAAAACAAGGCAAACGTTCCGCTTTACGGACTAAGAGGTGTGATTTAATAAGATTGGATTTATATATTCTTCAACATTGAACTTCCCTTGAGATATTTCAGGTACAATGCTTAAAAATTCAACTTAAAAAAAGAGAAAAACAACCCTTAAAGCCTATCTGCACTACTTTGGTCAGGAGGGATTAGACCTGCCTGCGTGGTCCTGACAGGTGGTTATCTCATCAAAACAGCTCTCAATTAACATTTAAAAAGGGGAATCATGGGGGACAAACTGGTACCGCTTAGGCATTGTTTGCTATATAGAGGGCGCAAAGTAGTGCAGTCCAGCTTAATATATCCCTCAATTATATTGTGACAAAATATGTTTTAAGTAGAATGTAACACTAAATGAGATCAAACTACATAATTTCCGACTATGAATTTGCATTATTTCTACTTCTGAAATGATTTTGATGTTCTCATTCTCTCAATTTATTTCGTTTTTTTTTCAATTTTCAGATGTAGTAAATTGAATGTATTTCATTGACAATTACTTTGAAACTCAAATCTACTTCACTCCTTTATTATTCGTTTACATGCGTAAAAAGTTTCTTCCGTCTTAATTTTAGTCTGAATTCAGTTTTTATAGCAATCTACACACACTTTATCTTAAAGGAAGCCTCACCCCAAGAAATAACTTAAGTTATTCTGAGAGATTTTTTGTTTTCTTGCCCATTAATCTAGAAGATTCCCCACCAAAGTGTATGAGAAAGGCAATAAAGCAAGAATAATGTACAGTTTCTCAGCACGACATGGGCATCGCCATTTTCTTGATAAAGTGACGTAATTTGCAAAGTCGTTTATCAAGTAAATGTATTTAAATGTATGAATGCTTCCATTCACCTGCTATCATCCTTTGTCAGAACGCAAATTGTATAAATAAGTTGGTGCTCTGGAGTATAAAGGTTTTGCCTAAAAGAAATAGATTTGTCAACTTCTATAATTTAGTTTTTTCAAATAAATGAGTTGCATTATTGTTCCCCTGTTATATATTTTTTCACCAAATACAATTTCGACTTCTTAGCTTTTATTTTCCCCCATTGAAAATTAATTGTTTAGTTATTGAATCAAAAAGTCCTACCAACTAAAGCTTGGTGCATGATATATGTACAACTTTGCCTGGTACGTCATATTGTCAAGAAAATGGCTGCGCCCACGTCATGCTTAAAGACATTACATCATGCCAAGAATATCTTGATTTATATTACTCTTGTACACTTTCGTAAGGAATATTGTTCATCAAAGGGCATGAATACATCTAATTTTTCAGAATACATACACTTATTATTTTGGGTTAAGTTACCTTTAACTGTACACGATCTACGCAAAATAAAAAACATAGGCTACCCCAGGCGCGTACGCAGGATTTTTTCAAGGGGGGGGGGGGGGGTTTTAACATTTATAAATCGGTCCGAAAACGACTTTTTTTTTGGTCTCGAAATTTGGAAATTTGACATTTTGCTCCGTTGGGGGGGGGGGGTAAGGTCACCTTTTTTAGGTCGGCCATGGGAATAATTTTTTTTTTTTTTTTTAATAATTAAAAAAAAAAAAAAAAAAAAAAAAAAAAAATCCAAAAGGGGGGGTTTTAGGTTTTTTTTAGGGGGGTTTACACACAAAAAATTTCCAAAGGGGGGGGGTTTAACCCCCCAAACCCCCCCCCCCCCCCTGCGTACGCGCCTGGGCTACCCTAATTACTTCCTTTGTCTGTTCAGATGGGCAATTCATAATTGAAACTGAAAGCTTAATGTCTTCCCGTGCGTACTTGACCTGTAGGTTAAAACATAAAAAAGACGGCTTCATCTTATAATATAATATTTATGAATATGTTAAAGGGAGTGTATCATGGGAAATACTGGTTAACGCCATTTACGTTATCTTTTGGACAACTGCACGTAAACGAATGGACTTGATTAACTGGGTCAGTGTGCGCTAAACTGGGTCAGCGCGCTAGCGTTCGCGAAACAGACCGAAGTTCTCCTCACGCTTCGGGTTCGCGTATGTTGCACGCACGTGAATGCTGCGGTCGCGTCGTCCGTAGTCGTATTATACCCGATTGGCCCCGAGTAGGGCCACGGGAAAGACACACAGTCTCGTCATGATACACTCCCTTTAATATGATATCATTGTTAATACAGTACAAGAAAAAAGACGGGAATACGCGGTAAAATCTTCAAGATTATGATGACGATGACAAATTAGGAAAATGATAACAGCTTCTCCATTCTCACCTTTTTTTTTCAGAGCCATCATTCTTATCAACAGATTCAGTAAGGAACATATTAACCCCTCATATAACATCTGACCTTTGGGAAACGCGTTCTTTCAACACGAGTGACAATTTCCGGATCCGGGTCAACTTTACTTCTTTCAACCTCGTCGCCGGGCTTGATTACATCAGTATCGGTGATGGTCTAACAGCGGACCGTACCCATGATGCAGTGTTTACTAATGGCGGACAGTACACGACATTGGCGAAGTTCAGTGGCTCCATCGAGAAGCCAAGTCACGTGACGTCCATCACAAATGCTGTCTGGATAGGTTTTCTCATCAGATCAGCGTCAGCATCCTTTGGACTGGAGATAACAGTGGTCACTCCAACAGGTAGTGAAGAAGAAATGGTGCCTTCTTCATACAAAATTAATGTGATGTAAAAAAAAAATAAAGCCACTGTCACACTAAACAAAAAACTGGATGCATACCATTTTTCTTCTTGCTTCTTCTGAATTTATAACTAACTGCAAGGGTGGAGTAAGAGCCTCCAAACATGAAATGAAAGCAGTTGTTTATATATTTTGAGCACATCCATTTGGCCTACTTTTGCTACAATTACAGAATGAAGCGCGTTTTTTTCTATACAAATAAATTATGTTTCGGGATATCTTAAAAATAGTAGCTCCACAACATTGATGGAGATTTTTTCCATTTGCTACTATTTTATATGATTTATTATTACTCGTCTTGGATTTTTTGTTCAAATACATTTTTTGCTTAATATCAACAAGTTTGTTTCATAACAATTATAAAGACGATGTGAATTATTTCACTCTCAAATCTCAATTTGAGTCCTAGTATAGCCCCATTTTTGAAAATCGACATTTTGTTGTAACTCTTTTTTCTTCTTCTTCAGATGAAGCCTTTTTGGACGCAGCCGAGAGTTCCTTTATTCAATCTCCAGGCTACCCATTAGACTACCCTCTAAACTATTACCAAATATGGTATTTCAAATGTGCCGATGGATTTGTCGTGTCCGTCATCGTTCACCACTTCGATCTTGAGTTCGAAAATGATTATCTTTACATCGGAGACGGTGCAAGAAGATTCTCAAACCACGATGATACCTGGCGTGATCTAACGGGAGATTTGCGTCAGATCAGAGACTATCGAGATTTTACTTCCCTCCAATCCTCGGTACAAATCATATTCACTACCGACTTCGTCACCGTCGAATCCGGATTTCGGATTGAGCTACGGGCAGTGAAACAAGCACGTAAGAACACTGGCGTACTGGTGGGGGGGCTAGGGGGGCGCCAGCCCCCCCTAATAAAATTGAATCATGACTTATTTTCAATTCCATATAGAAGTGATGTATAAATGTTCGTGATATCACATTCTGTTGCAAACTGACACATTCCCAAATGGCCAGGAAGAGCATATGTTTTGTTATAGACACTAAGGGGCCGTGGCCACTAACAGTAACACTAGTAAAAAAAAAATCCTTTCCAGAAGCAACTGTGACAAGCACTGCCGGGCGTTCCATACTTACATCATGTAACACTGCACATGTACCCAGTGGCGGATCTAGCCGGCGGGAAGAGGGGGGGGGGGGCCCAATCCGTGAGAAAATATTAGTTGCGACTCTTTTTTGATGTTGTTGACCCGTCAGCCCCCCCCCCCCTCCGTGGATCCACGCCTGCAGAGGAGCCAGTCGTCGACAAGGGGGGGGGGGGTGGGGGAGGGGGAGCCAAATCTTAATACAAAATTTAGCGCCGACTCAGCCGGCCAGCGAATAAGCGGGGGGGGGGGGAGCGCTTCTTTTTTTTTCTTTTTTTTGATCGAGTATTTGAGGAAAAATTTAGCGCCGAATCAGCCGGTCAGTGAATAATTTTTTTTTTTGGGGGGGGGGGAGGGGCGCTTTTGTTTTTTGTTTTAAAAAAGGTTAACTTTACGTTATTATCCTATTTTTTTAATCTTTTTTTTTTGGGGGGGGGGGGACTGAATTCAGACAAGAACACGATACAACGAATCGTCTTCTTTCTCTGATAATTTAATGAAACGTGAAAGCTCCCGCGCTTCGCGCGGGATGGGCGAATATGAATTCAGACAAGGATTAAGAGTAATAGTTTAATGAAACGTCAGAGTTTCCGCGCTGCGCGCGAGATGGGCGAAAATGAATTCAGACAAGGATTAAGAGTCGGAACCGGTACAATGAATCGTCTTCTTTCTCTAATAATTTAATGAAGTGTCTAAGCTTCCGCGCTTTGCGCGGGATGGGCGAAGATGAATTCAGACAAGGATTAAGAGTAATAATTTATTAAGACGTCAAAGCTTCCGCGCTTCGCGCGAGATGGGCGAAAATGAATTCAGACAAGGATTAAGAGTAATAGTTTAATGAAACGTTAGAGTTTCCGCGCTTCACGCGAGATGGGCGAAAATGAATTCAGACAAGGATTAAGAGTCGGAACCGGTACAATGAATCGTCTTCTTTCTCTAATAATTTAATGAAGTGTCAAAGCTTCTGCGCTTCGCGCGAGATGGGCGAAAATGATTTCAGACAAGGATTAAGAGTCGGAACCGGTACAATGAATCGTCTTCTTTCTCTAATAATTTAATGAAGTGTCTAAGCTTCCGCGATTCGCGCGGGAGGGGGAAAACTAAATTCAGATAATAACACGATACAACGAATCGTCTTCTTTCTCTAATAATTTAATGAAACGTGGAAGCTTCCGCGCTTCGCGCGGGATGGGCGAAAAAGAATTCAGACAAGGATTAAGAGTAATAATTTATTAAGACGTCAAAGCTTCCGCGCTTCGCGCGAGATGGGCGAAAATGAATTCAGACAAGGATTAAGAGTAATAATTTATTGAAACGTTAAAACTACCGCGCTTCGCGCGGTAGGGGGGGGACTGGATCCAAACAAGAATTAAGAGTCGAGAACGGTACAACGGATCGTCTTCTTTCTCTAATAATTTAATGAAGTGTCAAAGTTTCCGCGCTTCGCGCGGGAGGGGGGAGATAGAAAAATAACTTAGTTCCTGGCCCCGGGTTTATAGGGTTAAATTTGTAGACATTTGGATATTGGCTATAATATATTTGTCGGTAATTGGTTGCTCGTTTTGTCGGTAATTGGTGGCCTCTACTCCCCTCCCCACTCCCCCATTGACAAAGATCTAGCGACGCCCCTGATAACGACAGTTTATACACTCGAGAAAATGTTTGCAAATACTACTGATGAAGTACCGGACCACCGTGTTTGTGCATTGTGCGGCATTAATTAAAGCATATACAACGTCTCAAGACGTGACAGATCACTTTTCTCTAACTTCTAACCAATCAGAAGGCCTCGTTTTTTCTCCAAGAAGTGCTGGTGGACATTATGCGCCAAATGTGGTTCTCAAATTGCAAAAGATCCCTACTATTGGAAGGGGTAGGAGAAAGCAATTTTACGTCATATTGCTCCAGGAAGTGCCTGAAAATGCGTCTAATTTGGCTCTAAAATTGCAAATGCTTCTTACTCTGGGAGGGGGCCAGAACCCCCTCCCAGACCCACCCCCGCTTGGTCGCTCCGCTCCCTCGCCGCTAAAGCCCTGTTCTGTCGCTTCATCGTTTTTCATATATTTAACCCCATGCCATTTTATGCCCCCCCCCCCGGTAAGAAATTCCTGGATTCGCCACTGATGCCCATACCCCTTGAGCTTCGGGGGCTCCGCCCCCCTTGACCCCCGCCGGGGCTTTGCCCCTCGACCCCACTTTGCGAAACGTTCAGCGGAGCCTGCATGTTAGAGTGGGGTGCTGCGGATTTTTTTTTTTGTCAGCCCCCCCAAACGTTTTTGCTCATTACGCCACTGCGTAAGAATAAAGTTGAATCCTGAGAACATATGACAGTCATGACGTGCTCATCATAATGATGTAATTTGATGACAGAGATTGTGACCTTTACAGGATGTCATATACTGATAGAGTTTGTAACCATCAACACATTAATGAAGTAAAATTATTACAGAGTTTATGACATTTACATGAAGTCAAATAGTGACAGAGCTAGTAGCCTTCAAATTGTTATTGCCATATTAAGGACTACACAGGCCTCTTGTTGTTTTCATTGGAAAGGGGAATAAGTGAAGACAGATACATGTGTAAGTAGCTTGTCTACGTTTTAGCTTTCGAATAATAAAAACCACTCGCATTCGATGAATATCTAAACTTATCATGCTTAGCAAAAAAAGTATTCGTGAAGTGGTAAAAATGCAACTGTGAGTGTTTGGGTTCAAATCCCAGCTCGAGACTAACGTCCCAGTTTGCAAAGACATTAGGGACTTTTAGATTGAGTGGACGAGAACGCGACGAACGCCGACTAGTGTCAACGTACTTAACTGCCCATGTTGACTACAATTAGAAATCCTTTAGATTGCACTCGACGATATACATGCATGCAGGAAGTAACACTATGAACATCACGGACAAAGGAAGAGGACAAAATATACAGTTTCTCATTCTACCCTCAACAAAAGAACATTCCTTCACTGCTATTATGTAAAAATGTGTAGAACAGGTGAATATGCATGTGACACCTGTTCTACACATTTTTACATAATAGCAGGGAAGGGATGTTTCTTTGTCTACCTGAGGAACTGTATTATGCGCACGCGGCATATTAGTACCTTGAGCATGTAAAGGCGCTATATAAATATCAGTATGTATGTATGTACTAGATTTAGGAAAATCAAGGTTGACGTATTCTCGATCGCCGACTAAGACGACGTAACGCATGCGCATTGCCTTAAAATGACGTCACACGTTGCAGTCAAAGCTGTTGACATGCAAATCTAAAAGTCCCTATTAATCCACATGTACCACACTCCGTCCAGGTGAAAATGGGTAATTTAATAGCAATTGCTGGTGTCGTAACATTTATAGGAACCTGAGGAAGAACAGCACTGGTGCTGATGAGGCTTCCCTGGGTAAATAAAATTACTTAAATTAAAATACAATTAGTATAATCCTAATATTTGCGCTTATCGTTCTATATATCAATTAAAATAGGATCGTACAAGCATGTACCGTTATTTGGTCGAAATCATAAATCTAAATTAAACTTTAATCTACCTTTTTTTAAATAATTTCCTCCTTTCATTAATTACCTCCAGGTAAAACTACAATGCAACGTGTGAGTACCACACCAATTTTTCCATCTACCTCAGGTCGGAGTATGGAGAATGACGTCATTACGTCTGACAGCAGTGCTAAACTTCCCAAAACAACGACGCAAAAGGGTGGTAAGTTAACCAACTATCTTCATAGTGAGTTTTTTAAAAAGGTCAAATCAAGCTGAAAATGATCTTACTGGTGAAATACATTACAGTTTTTTTTTGTCAAGTTTGTATCATTTGCTCCTTCTCCTCCCGAATGAATGGAACTTGTGACTGTATACCTATTTTTTGTTTAAATCATGAAATATTATGCCTACATCATTGTGTTTCTACAAACGAGTATGAGTCTTCGTTCACACGTCTGATCACTTCATGATCACATTTTTGGTCATAAAGATAATTACAGATAAAAGATAGATTTGTTTTCGTTTTGAGAGTGCGCCGAATACTTAAGTTTTACAACTAAATATATTCCCCCTTTTTTATTTCCAGTATATGAGATGCAACAGATGAACAGTTCGACAAATTTCGTTATAATCTTCGGTGTATTTTCCGGGCTACTCTGTGTCATCCTGCTCGTAATACTTCTGCACTGTGTGGTTGTGAAATTTCGACGACGCCACTTAGCACAGCTAGATGGAAGGGTAAGAGGAAGAATAATTCTATTGCTATACGCTCGTCAACCAATTGTATTTGGCATTTTGTCAAACAATTACTAAGCAATACACCAGTAATACATTTTCCTCTCCAAAAAGAAATTGTATGAAGGGCCTCAAACGAGACGTATCATGGTAAATCCTCCCTAACATGCAAAAGAATGATAGCAAATTCACTTGAATGACTATGGACTACCACCGTGTGATATCACATTACACATTATTGTATATAACAAACTGTATTTTACAAACAATGCAATGGCAAAGGTAATGTAAAAATGGAATGTGATCTTTACGCATTGCTTTGACCTTTGTTCTATTGTGTCTACTTGATCTTTAGATATACTGTTCCGTCACAGAATCGGCGCCGGCATTACCCCCTCCCAGATTCACGCGAAGACACACGTCTCTGGCATGTGCATCCCCACCTGCGTGTCACACAGGCTCGTGTGTAGAAGACAATTGCGACAACACCACGGCAACATTCAAGAACAAACATATCATGAAAGGTGAGGTGTTTAGTGAGGCAGGAGACATCCTGAATCAACTTGGTGTGGATTCCACAATGTACGCTGATACCTACGCTTGCGTACCTGACCCCCTTGGTAAGCAGTGCTTTGATGATGGTGGAGAGACTGATAACACCAAGATATCAAAACATCTTGGTGTCGTCATGTCCGCATCACGAAGCGATGGAGATCACAAGGATGCCATCCCCCTTAAACCTCGTGTTAATACAGGCAGGAGATACGGGCAAGAGGAGTCCCAATATGTTTGTTCGACAGCTGATCACAATCGACTCACAAGGGGTGGATTCGTGGAGGGCTCTCATGATGATACATCACCGAAAGGTATCAGAACTAAGAGGAGGTATGACGAAGATTATGTGAATGTTCCAAGTATTAATACCGTCATATGTGATGACAGTTCTTCAAGTACGTCGTCCAGCAGATCAGGGCTTGAAGATAGCGGCTCAAGCAACTCCTCTAATCAACACCCTGGTCGCTGTCCACATAGCAAGAGAGCCTTAAAATCAATTGACTTTAGTGGCCTTCCTAGATCTCAAGTTGCAGGGTCATCCTCTGACTCATCATCTACAATATTGACAGAGGACTCACGATTCCCGAGCTGTAACATTGACGAATTCGGCTACCTCATCCTAAGCACGTCATCACCAAAATGCGGCGGATCTCGACACAACCTTCAATCGGAAAGCCATGACGATGAACTACGTTTTCCTCAGTACAGCAGCAATGGCCATGACGACTGGACAACTTCAGGTCGCCTCCACATGTCTCCTTCTCAACGTTCCAGTCGAGAGTCGTTGTCGAGCTCTTCACCACTTGAGCACACCTACCTTGATAGAGAGATGTCATAATAAACTCCATGAGTTTGAAAAATAGAGTATCTGTATTCGAAAAGAGACGAGACACGTGATCTATAAACGACATTTACAAGTGTGTATGGACCCAGAGATGTTCACCTGTCTTCTCATTACTCTTTTAATTAAAGGCATCGTTTAACAATGTTAAATATGAGATGCACGGCCTTACGTGTTATCTTTGTCTGTGATATGGAGTAATAATGAAGCCCTAACAAAATTTCGCTTCAAAATGATCAAGAAGTGCCTCAAAAATGTAAAAATCTTTGAGTGACCGGTTTTACCATACTCGTTTTCCCCAATAGACTATAGTGTCAAAATTTGTTATTCTAATCATAAATATATTGATAATCAGACAGGCGATCGGCTTGTAAAAGTCATGGGGTTCCTGACTGACCTAAAGGTTCATAATTATCATTGTAGCATGAGCTTAATCCAGGACTTTGTTTCAGAATCTGAGACAAAGTTACCGGATCCCTTTACTGATGAATGAATCACGTTTAGGTATAGTGATAAATGGCTTGTCATTATACAAAATTACGAAACACAAAACGGGTCTACAAAGAAGGGAGCCATTGGTTAGCATAGGGTCTTAAGATATGACATTAAAGACATTAGTAGGCCTATCCTTAGAGCTTTAATCATTTCATGATTACCTAGTGAATATAATTTTACAAAATAATCTCTCTCATCCAATTCATTTACTTTGATTTATATCGTTTTTTGTTTGGATTATAAATGCATGTAGACAAAGCCATTGTAATTATAAACAAAATAAATGGTGTTTGAGTTAAATATCACTTAGTGTTGAAGGTATATCATTAAGATTTCCTTTATGCGACGTACAGTACTAGATGGTCTTTAAGAATCATCCTTTCATAAAAAAAAATAGATAAAATCTAGAAAAATGTGTGGCACAAGATGATTATATTTTAACAGATTTTCTATTCACTTTGATGAGAAATATTCCAGAATGAAGTTGTGGATGTTCAACGGTCATATTAATTATGCGAAGGCTAATTCTGTTCCTTATCACTGCCATAATTATAGCCTTATTCACAAAGCATGATGACTCCCAAGTGTACTACCATTAACAAATCTGAACCCCTCTTAGATTGGTGCAGTAACAAACGATTCGGATATAGAGTTAATGTACTGCTTGAAATATGTTAATTAAACTCTACACGTAAGCCGTATTGATGTCATTAAAAGCAATGAAAAGACGAGCCTTCCCGCTTTTGTCCAAAATGGTGGATTTTTAAGTGGCTTTTAATGGAAGAGAGTGAGGTCGCAAATATGTTTGAAATACCGGTATATAAATTCCTATTTAAATCTAAACCCGATTAATGCATTATTTCTTCATCATACTGATCATAGATATATATCCAGATGAATGTTACCTTTGTCACATCGATTTGCTAACAATATCCGAGAGGACGGCGTAAGAAAAACACCCGAACAGAGCCATGAAGAGTTCAGTGAAATTTGTTTCAGTAGATATTATTTGCCTTCAAAGAATTTCTGACAGGAAAAAAAAAAGGATATCAGGTATTCATGTTCATTAGGGTAGAAAATAATTATGAAAGGGGGTTTCTCTTTTTTACGGTGCGTGTACGTGTGTGCGTGCGCGCGCGTGTGCGTGTGTGTGTTTGAGGTTTGAATGTGTGCAGAGAGATAAGGAATGGGATGTGTATAACCCCTGTACACGCACACACACAAATACACACACACCTACTCTCACACGCACACACACACCCACACCAACCCTCACGCACACACCAATAAATTAAGTTAAAATTATCATTACAAAAAATTAAAAATAGCAACAACGTTAGCAATCAGAAATAATTAAGGATATTACAAATCCCTTAAACAGGGTGGTTTGAATTTGAAGTACACCTATATGGTTTTAAAAAATGGATGAATCGATGGTTGTCCTCGTATCAAATTAATGATAATACACATCAACTGTGTCTTCTTTGTCACAATAATTTTTTTTCAATTATCGAAAGCCACTAATCAAATTAAAAGGCACACAAAAACAACCCTAGTATGAGATGCTAATTAATACCAGTATCAATCAATAATATTGATTAATGTTTTTTGTCCATCATGTTTATCACTTTTGTTGGATTTGCCTGGTATTGTTGAATGCGTTCTTGTTTGATATAAGTTCATATCATGTTAAAGATACTATGTCCCTTTTGCAGCCAACATCAAATTCGGTAGAACTTTGCAGGAATTATTGATATGTCATGTACGTCGATCTGTGATATCTAAGCATAAGCATTGTCCTAGTATTCAAATTATGCAAGGAAACCCGTTTACATTCTAGACTTCACTGTCAGACACTATTGAGTGACTGAATGACCGACTTTTTTGTTGGTAATTACTTACATAAAATGAGCCGTAACAGGTACATGAGCACTTGTCTACATCAATAACCCACTACTTGAATGGCCAAAATTAAATTGATTGAATTTTCGTGCAACTCAAAACGTTCGACCATTCGGACAAAGGGTCTGAATATTAGACTATTACTTAGGTGCTTGCAATCACTTAAGTTGATTTGACAACTAATGGTCGTTATTTTCCCACTAAAGGCCATTTTCGAGCCCTTTCGTTTTGAGGGAAGTTCTAAATTAGTATTGTTTTTCAAATGCCGTTGGAATTTAACCTTTTCATTTTTTGGCCTGCAAATGGGACATAGTACCTTTAAGTGCCCATGATGAAAAATGAAAGTCCTCTATTCCTCTTTCAATTAATTGAGCTAATTTTATGTCAACTTGAAACGGCAATACGCAGTTGAGCATTTACCAATGCCATGGAGGTGGCACATGCCCCCCCCCCCCCCCCCCCCCACTCCAATCGAAAGGTGGAGTAAAGGAAAACGAAGAGAAACAAAAAGGGAGAAAAGGAAATGAGGAGCCCAAAGAGAAGATGAAATATATCCTCCTCTAACACATCCGTCTCCACATGGATAGTTTCATTAATTTGCGTTTCACTCATCTAATGATTCCATTTCTTCACGCTTTGATTGCAGCGGCCCACTCAGTTATTGGAGCCTGGCTATACGCCACTGGTTGCATGCTCATTGAGTGACGCGACAAATTCATATCATCAGCTTTATCGCAGTCATGACAACGAGTTGTTGTTTCTAAAATCTAATGTATGATATTCAACTTCAAGATAACCTTCTTTCAGAGCATAGATCTATAAGCATCACACTTCAAACGAATGCATCTCAGAGAGCATCGGTAGTAAATAATTTCATGCTTCATATCATTCACTCAAAATCAAATTTTAATCTTATAACTAAGTACATGCACGAGTTCACTCCAAATAAATGCAATAAAAGAGGAAGTCATAAAATGAAAATGTCATTTAAAAGAGAGATCTTTCTAAAGCAGGGCTCCCACTTAGCCGAGTTGGAACCTCGAGTTGTGGCGAGCTGGCGCGATCTTATGGCAAGCCGTTTTATTATTAATTGATATCAATAAATCAATTCTTGTTATCAAGAAATGATTTTATGTTGTAAAGCAATGGTAATTCTTGATATCAAGAATTCGATTTCGTGATATCAGGAATTCGAGTTCGTGATATCAAGAATTGAATTCTTGATATCAAGAATTATGTTTTAATGATAAAACTGCAGTTTCTAGAGGTAGGCTACACTGATTCCACAATGTATATGCCTATATACTTTCTTTTGGACAAACCGGATATATACAATATGCTTTGGACATAGGAAACGTGATATGTGCGATAAAATTACTCCGTTGTAATTACTATTTTATCGATTCTGACAGATGTGTAGGCTGCTCATGGAATTCAAAGAAGATTTGACTTCGGGTAATTTCCCTCTTTCTTTTTTTTGAAAAGCTTTACGCGGGTTATACAAAAGAAGTTAGATAAAGTACGTACGCTGCATTGACCTTGTAAAATGTCTGTCATAGCTAAATTAATAATCTACCTTAAAATCACATTCATTGTTTATCTTTATATCAGTTATTTCGTGTACCTATTATTTTGCTTTCTAAATGAGTAAAGCGAGTAGAAATATTAAAGCCGTCTGTCCAATGGTTATTTACTTACAAGCATTACACATGCTCTCTTAGCAGTCAGGCAAAACAAAAGAAACAACCAAACTTCAATAATCATGACCACTGTAGCCTTTAGACATGTTCAAGTGCATCAATTCTGTTAGTTTCTAGTTTTGGTACCCAAGGCTACTGAACAACAAACATTAAAACTTAGCCACGCACGCGAAAGGGTCTTTAATTAGGAGAGAGACATAAAGGAGACATTCTCACGTGACTTAGCACCCTTAAAGGTACTATGTCCCTTTTGCAGCCAACCTCAAATTCTGTAGAACTTTGCAGGAACTATGAATATGTCATGTATGTCCTATCTGTGAAATTTAAACGTTAGCAGTGTCCTAATATTCAAATTATGCAAGGAAACCCGTTTACTTGCTAGGCTTCACTGTCAGACACTATGCAGTGACTGACTGGCTTTTTTCTTCTTCTTTGGTAATAATATACATATACATAAAATGAGCTGTAAAAGGTACATGAGCATTTGTCTACATCAATAACCCACTTCTTGTGATGGTCAAGATTAAACTGATTGAATCTTTGCGCAGCATAAAACATATGACCGTTCGGTACAATGGTCTGAAAATCAAGACTATTACTTATTGACTCTATAGCTCGATTTGACAATAGTCGTTATTTTCCCACTTGAAGATTTTTCAAGCCCCACTTTTTTTAGGGAAGTTCTAAAATGGTTTTATCTTTCAAATGCCGTTGGAATTTAACCTTTCCATTTTTGGGGCCTGCAAATGGGACATAGTACCTTTAACACGAAATTTGACGACCAAATACGGATATAAAATTCTTGAAGATCCACTATGTATAATAATTACAGGCATCACTCCATTATTGTACTCGACTTCGTTTGCTACTGCGTTATTTACTAGCTCGCTCTCAGTGGCCCGAATTCACAAAAGAGGTTTGTCGACAAATCTAGGTTTATGTGCGTCCGATATTATGCGTTTCGACGCGTTTTACAAACCAGGATTAATAGCTTTACTTTTCATTTGGAATTTGATACGCTCGAACGATTTTTTTAAAATATCACATTTGGATAAACATCGGTTTAATTTAGTCAACGTAGTTCTATCGTCAGCATTTGTCTGCTCACCAAATTCTGATAACAGAAAACAACTGTGTTTCAATCATCTCGTTCCTTTTCATTCTATGATATGTTATATCAAACTAGCGGCAAAGCATTCCT